TAACAATGCATACTTAAACTTTGTTAGTCTCCAATATTCAGAGTAGATAATTAGAGTACATAAGTAGAGTGCACGTCAGTCAGAGATAATGACTAACTCCATTAAAAAAAATGTATATTTTCAGTGTTTTCCTGGAAGACCATCCTTGGGCCAGGTGTTAAACAACTTACACGCCAAGTTGCCTCTCACGCGGACAAACATTTTTAGGTCGGAATATTTGTACAATGTGCAGCGATCTCAGGTAAGTTCGTACAGGTGAACTTTTTCCTTCAGCTCATTCCCAAAAACATAAAAGCGTGGCCTGATTTACTTGGGTCGTTTCTGCCGCTATGGTGGGATTTCAGCTTCGTGTGATTACAAAAAAAAAGCCTTGTTTTTTTCCTGGTGAAGTTCGCATCGATGAATGACTTGTCGTGTGTGACTGAAGCGGTAAACTAATGGATCGGCTGTGCCAGAGGTGATAGCCGATTGATTCTTGCGCTGGACTGCCGATCGAGAGGTTTGGGTTCGAGCTCTAGCCGTGTGGGCAAGACATCTCACTCTCACAGGACTTATCCCCTCTCAGGAATATTCGTGGGTCGCTGCGAACTTCCAGGGAAACTTTGACTAATCTCTGGGAGGTTATCGGCTTTTGACTAGCGTCTTGTCCTGGCTGGGTAGCAATCGTTCCAGTCGTTTCTTATCGACAGTAATTGGCCAGTAAAGGTGGTCAGCCCGAATAAAGCATTTAAAGTTAGTATTGATTTCAATTTTGTGAAAGCATATACAAGGGTAGACATTTTGCGGGTTTTATTCAAGTCAAAAAACTGATGTTAAAAGAATGGCCCAGGAAATTTTTTGGTGAACTCGATCAGTGTGGACACCAACAACTGCAAGACTACTGTGAATGAGGTAGCCTGTTGTGACTAGCACCCCATCAAGGGAAAGAAGTGTTACTCCTAGTGGCTGTATAGCATGAATTACGTGGGGGAAAGTTTAGGTAAGCGAGTTGCAAGTCACTGACGTTAATCATGTGACAGTGGCTGATTGTACAGTGTCTCTACAATTTATTTTCAGGCGAACGTGAAACTGGACGGTGGCTCAAACGCCCATCCTCTACCCAAAAAGGTTAAGTGGGCGGCTTGTTCTGGTAGCAAGCCAGAGTACCGAGGCTACCCGTGTAGTTTATGGACTTTATTTCACACGCTCACCGTGAACTGCGGCTCGAGCCACCAGCTAACAGGTCTGGATGTTCTCTCTCGTATCAGAGAATTCATCCGCTACTTCTTTAGCTGCGAAGAATGTAGGAAACACTTCACGGCGATGTCTTCAAATCTTAGTAACGAAGTCCATTCGCACAACGAGGCAATCCTATGGCTGTGGCGGGGTCACAACAAGGTGAATGATCGACTGGCTGGCGACCAAAGTGAGGATCCGAAGCACCCCAAGATCCAATTTCCGTCTAAGGACCTTTGTGAGGAGTGTCGGGTTCCTGGCTCTGATGATCACAACGTTCAGTGGAATGAGGCGGTCGTCTTGGAATTTTTGAAGAATCATTATGGGGTAGACAATATCAGGATTAAGAAACCGCCAGCGCGATCAGCCCCAGAGTTAGAGGACACTGATATTGTAAGCAAACATTCCAAGCGTCATTCTGTTTCTCATCTTAGTATAATCGGTCTGAGTTCCATTGACGCCAGCATGTGTCTGATTTTATATTCAGCCATAGCTTTTGCAGTTATCGCCTTGTACATCTATTTCATACGAAGGCGCCGGAGAATCGTAAGGCTTCACGTTCACACACCTTAATCTTCAAAAATTCTCATGTGATGCGTCGTGTCAGGGCACTTGTTGATTCGAGAGAGTTAAGTTCACTTGAACACAAATTGTTTAAAAAGTCAATGTTCTGGTCGTTTCATGCTTCGCCCTTGATCAATGGAAATTCGTTCGGTTTTCTTTTAAATCATAGCAAGTTACAGGGTCAGAAGCTTTCATTGCCGGCTAAAACTTGTTTAAAATTCTCTCAGTCTATTTTACTATTAATATTTATTTATTTATATGAAAGCCGCTAAAGGGCACACTATTCCCAAGACTAAATTCATTTGAGTTATTTTTGATTTTACTAGATAAAGTAATCGCAAATCGGAAGTGAAAATTTAACACGATGTATTTTTGCAATTAAATTTAAAATTTAAAGCAAAGAAATTTAAAAAAACAAACAAACGTATTTCCATCACAAGATTCTGTTTTTCTGTTGAAAGATGTATGAAAACTAACTTGGTTTAAAATCGGAGCGGAAAAAAAAACTTTGATCTCCTCATAAATTTTCATCGAGTAAGATTTGAATGTTGAGTTTAAAAAAGAAAAGAAGTTCCCATAAGGTCTAGCGCGAAGTATTGTAGAGTTTTATTGGCACTACTGACCTTTCCTTTGTAGCTCCTCGAGCAAGGAAGCATTTTAGAGTTATATTATTAGTTGGAGAAAGTGGAACGTCTAAAAGTTTACATGATATTGAATTGTTATAAAATTTCCAATGTACATAATGATATATTAATGGATAGAGTTTTAGATTGAATTCAATTTTATTCTACGTTATCGTCTTAAATTTTAAATCTTACAAGGCAAAAAGATAATCGCGTTTTAAAGCGCTATTCTCTGTGATTTTACCAACACTGAAATCAGTCAATCAGCCTAGACAGGCAGCTAGAACTGCTGATTTTATTTGACCATGTTCACACGTGAATTAAGACACCTCTAAGAGTAAATTGTTGCAACGAATTAAAGAATATGACACTGGATTGATGACTTTTTTCCTGTTGGCGTTGGATACTGTAAATTAGCGAGATCTAGCTTGAGCATGGGCTCTTACGAAAGGAATTTTATGCTTGTGCTGAAAACAGCAGGTAGAGGACACTTTATTGTGGACATTGCAACAGACGGTTACTGACATGTAATCTATTCACTTTACAGGAGTTTGCTGATTACTTTGCACGACAATTACAAACGAAAAAATACCAGACGGAGGACAGTGAACACAAGACACACTCAGATACCAACCATACTGAAACACACTTAGATCCATTTGCGGAAATTATCTGAAATCCTACGCACATCGCACGGTAATAAGTCTGTGAACTTGCTGCTGCATGCTGCAAGGCGACTGGAACCAAACAAACCCATAATGCATTGTGGATAATTAGCGCCGGCGCTACTCATGAGGGCAAAGCGGTTTAATCCACGAACCTTGGGGTTTTGAATTTTGTTGTAGAATATTTTTATAATTCATCGCTTAACAGCAAAATTGAACATCTTGATCATGATATGATCTTGATCATGATATGTGCACATGGGTGCAATGTTTTTTATTCTCATACAATAACCAAAGTTTGAACGAGTCAGAAATGATAAAGGTTCCCATCCATCAAAATCTAGATAAATTTGAAAATGAACAAAAAGATCGAAAGAGCACTGGGTCAAAGAAGTGTGGACTCCCCACTGCCATACCTATTCAAATGTCTCCACCAAGGTTTACAAATCTGTCTCAGAAAGAAGGCCTGTTCTAGGGGATGATTAGGAACTTTTAAGAGATTAAAAATATCCATATTCTCTTGTAAATTTGAAAAACCAGGTCAAAACTGCACATCAATTAAAGTTAAACGAGAGAGTACGTTCCAGCTTTCCCCGTCCTTCTCCATTCCGGAGACGATCTAGCTGAAGGAATGACGTCTCTGTTTTAGGGTCTTGGAAAAGTTATCTCTTAAAATTTTGAGCGGTTTGTTGTATAAAATCATTCAGCATTCTCTCCATCCTTAGCGGTCTGTTTTTGTGTTTGGTTACTGTGTTCCTCTTTTGTATTTTTAATCATTCCAGATAAATATGTCGCAGCCTTTTTAAAACTGTCTTTAAAGGTAGTTTGGCAGGCCTTCAAATTTATTCACGATCTCGGAACGTAGATCCTTTTAAGATCGTTTGCTATAATCGGAGACAAAAGTGTTGGTAAAAAAATGTTCATTGCAGATTTATCCGTTTAAATGTGGACAGGGCCAACAAATAGACGAAGATTTTTCTACACGTAAGCCATCGCTAAATTAAAACCAAAATTATTCATTCGATCACACTCTGTAACTTTTACATTTCCCTTGTCCATTTTTACGTACATCCTTTTTCGCTTGTGTTTTCAATTTCCTTGTTTCACTTTTTCTCATTGTAAATCTATCAATGTTTCTAAAATGCATTGCAAAGTTTAGATTTTGGCTTAAACTTGAAGGATCGTGGGAGGATGTTTTACCTTTTAAATTAGTAAGTATGCTGACATTGACGTACAACCGAACTAGTGGTAGTTATTTGCAAAAACTTTTCATCTTTGACACCCAGTGGGTAACTGTACTGGGCTCTGTAGCACAGAAAGCTACGTTAGACAAAATATAGAACACAAATTTATGACATTGGTTCCTTTTTTATTTCTGTCTTTCTGTCGTGTATTTAGTAGATGGCATTTATTAAGGGGCGTCGCACAATGGGTATCTGCCTAACCGTAGCCTTGTGCGGTTTCTCACTGGCGCGGGACACAAGGGTGGAGCGATATGAGCCCGAAGATGTCTGTAAGGGCTCTTATTTTTGGTCCCTCTCACAAAATCGCCTTGCGCGTCGGATCGTATCGAGCAAGCGTTCGCCCACATGCGGGGGCAATAATGACAGCCTTCTCCCAGGCTAACCTGACAGTCATGTTGACATTCACGCTGTGTTTTATTGAAAAATATATTTTGTTGGTTAAGCACAAAGAAACACATGCCGTGTTGATTCTTCGGATCCGTACTTTCCCCTCACTTGAATTAGGAGGTTTTACATACTCTTCAATAATTCAAGAATCCTGTTGCCCCGCTTAGGTTGCAGTTGACCTCTACAACCTTGACAACCTTGGCCGATTTACAGTACAGACTAACGAAGCTAAAGCAAAATATATACAATAGAGGGTTGAGTTTTTGAAGAAACTACAGTGCTGCGTCGGAAAGGGGGGGGGGGTGGGTAGGGGTATTTCAAGATAGTTGGTCTTTCAACTGAGTAGATAATGTAAATTGGCCACCTTGGCGTTAGCCCTTCGTTAGGGCGATGAAATAAAGGTGATAATATATACAGTTTGATGACTAAAACAAAATATGTTTATCTTCAATAAGCTAAGAACCATCGGTTATTAGTCAGAAATGTTCACAGTGATTCAGTAACATAGATACGAATACAAAATAAGGTGTGTGAAAAAAATGAAGATTTCCAACGGTGGATTGACGTCTAAAACAGCTTTTTAAGTAACCGAGGAATCACTGTTCGAGGCGTCCCTGTCTCTTTAACTGCCTCAAACGTTGTGCCGGCTGAAAATCAGAAGAAGAAAACTCACGCCAAATGTCACATAAGTAAATAGGGATTCAAAAGGGAAATTGTAACACTTGGGAAACTCAAAATACCATCGTAGCCAGTCGTATGCTCAGCCTAAAAAACGTCGTTATGCTTGAGCACAATACAGTGGTACCTGAGGTAAGTGGACCTCCCCCCCTCCCCACCATATCAAGCACACTCTGTCCTTTGTAAACACCAACCCAAGTCCTAAGTTTCCCTCTACAAATTTTCCTTTTTACTTGAGCACAATACAGTGATATCTGTGGTTAGCAGCCTCCCCCCCTTCCCAGCCACCATATCAAGCAGACCCTGTATTTAGCAAACACCAGCCCATCCTAGGATTTCTCCAATAGAGGGGATTCTTTTTCTACCCCCATGGGTGTCCCCATAGTTGGAGGTTTCACTGTAATTGAAAGATGAGAGCTTCTTCAACTTACCAAATTTTTTCACTTGCTCGCTTATGAAGCTGCTACTTACTGCTTCATACTCCTTACTGGTATTTATAGATGTGGCGATTGCATCTGCCTGCAAACAAGAAAAAGGAATATCTGTAATCAAGCAGTTACAACAACAAAGTAGATATTGGACTTAGGGACCAAAGGCTATTGGCTACTGTATCGTATGATTGCATGGGCAGAGTTAAAGGGTCATGCCCCCACCCCTTAAAGACACACACACCTTCTCAGGAGTCAAGGTTTTTCACAAATGTTTTGGCTACTTCAGCATTCCTTTTTAAATTCATCTGGATCCACTCTTGGATCATATATTTATAGGCAAAGGCAAGGGGAAATTCTCAAACTGAAGAACATTCAAATTAATTTGAATCAAAACCAAAGTAATCCCAAATGTTGATCAAAACAAAAGTAAATAAATAAGAAAGGCCATTGAAAACTCAAAGCAAATATTTATATCTCATTCAAGGGACAAAGTGTGTAACCAAGCAGGGATTGATTTCAATTTTACACTGTGCAAGTTTGTTAGACCCATCACAAAATGTAATGAATCTCATCCACAGCAATCTTGACACTCAGTTCAAATCTGGTACTCTCCATGATTTTCGATGTAAAAAAAATTAATTAATGTTATTGTTTCTAAAGAAATTTATTTACCTGTAATATCATTTTGAGTTTTGTTTCATGAAGTCTGTCCATTACCCCTTTCAATGATGGCTTTCCAGAGAGCAGCTGGTGCTGTTCAGGGGACAGGAAGTCTGGACACTGATCTGTGGATTTCACATCATCTTCTTGGTTTTCTCTGTCAAATAAAAACGTTTTTATCAATGATATCAGGAATCATATAAAGTACTTGTGCATTCCAACTGTCATGTGCTGGTTAGTGACAATGATCATTAGCATGCAAGAATAACAAGATGGCAGTCAGGTTCAAGTTTTAAAGATTATCCAAGATGGGATGGATTGAAAACAAAAAAAACAAAAAACAAGAAACCAGTACATGGCTATTTTATGTGCTTGTGGATCCTAAGGTTGTGCTGGTTTATCACTATAACCTTAATCTATCACTGCTTTTTGCAATTTATTCCAGTTTCTATGAAATAAGTGACTATGTGTATTACCTCTACACCTGGTCAGAATGCTACAGAGTTCACCATGACTAATCCTCCAACAAACCTTTCAAGTTTCAGTTTTTTGATAATGTTTTGTACTTGGTTGAAAGAAAGGGACACTGGTTCTTAGTGTGTTGTCTACGAACACAACTTGATGACCCACCCATGACTCAAACCCACCCTCCTTAATCTGAAATTTACCCCATGGACCACTACACTGCATGTCTTTCTGTGCCAGGAATTGTACTAATTGTCATGAGAGAGAATATGGTAATATTGCCTCAAAATGACTGGGCTGAGGAATTAATGAATGAGTGAATGAATAAATGAATGAAAAAATGATAGGATGAAATGATAGAATGAAAGAATATTTGTTAAAAATAGTGTTTTTACTTTTTGTACCTATCTTTTTTTTCCATATTGCTTTTATGCAAGGACAGTAATTCATCCCACTTCTTGTTCTCTGCCTTCAGCCTGAAAAATGATAAGATATGTGCTTATTCACCTTTTGAAGGGGATTTTCCTTAACCCTTTCACTCGCACAAGTGACCAAGACAGAATTTCTCCTTACAATATCAATACAATGTCAAGCAGGCAGGTGATGAGAATAGAGAAGAATATCAATCATGGGATTATTAGTTGATTCCTTAATGTCTTTGATTGGAAAAAATGAGTCATCAGTTAGTTCTCCAAAAGAAAAGAATTCTGCCACAAGAATTTGCTATCTTCAGTCCAACCAGAGCTCTTATGTACTTTTTACAGTTACTCTATACTTTGGAGTGACTCAAAATATTCATCTTTGAATCATCTAGTGTGATTTCTCTGAATAACTCAATATTTAAAAGGATTTGAAAAGACTAAGTATGTTTTCTTCATTTATTTCTGGTGCTTGAACAGCACCTTGAGTCTAAGATGGCCTGCAGTCTCTTGCTCGAATTCCCCTGCAGTTAGAGTTAACTAGGTAGCTTTGGTTAGGTTGGGACTATTTGACAGTTATGGTAGTGAAAAAAAAAATGCAAAAAATTGCTCCCAGCAGATATTTTTTTTGTCAACTTGAGCAGCAAAAGTTCAAAGAGTACAAAAAATTCCAGTCAAAAAAATATCACTGCTGCACTAGATGCCACAATAGTAAATTTTACTGCTACATTAAAAGTGAGGAATGCAAGAACATTACTTACATTAAGTGTTTTAAACACATATATTATGATACTGTTGTACCTTTCAGTAACAGCCAGCCTTGATGCCGCTTTAGCCTCCAGTTCTTCATTTTTAGGGTTGGGTATCTGCCTGTGGGAAAGAAAAAAATCATTAGGTAATTAGGAAACAGAGATCAGTCACCATTTGGCCACGGAAAATCAGAAAATGGTTGATAAAATTTTTAATTGACAGTAGCTTGCAATCATTTTTAAAGACTTGCATGTATGAGACATTTCTAGTTTCAACACTTGCTCAAGTGAGGAGAAAGAAGCAATGATGGAGCACTTAAATAATTTCATGCAAATGTTGATCAAGAAAATTAATGAATAAAAACAATGCAGCCAGTGCCTTGTCTGTCAAACACAGATCGCCAATTTGGCAACTTTTGCTGAATGTCATGGCCTTTTTTCCCACTATGGCTTCCTAAATGGTCGCAGCTTGGATTACTGTTGAGTATAATGTTTAACACATAAAAATAACTCTTATGGCTAATTTAATATTGTAAAGCTAATTCAATTAAAGCAGCAATAATAAATTTTGTTTCTTGACACTTCACTCATTTTCTACTTACTTCATTTTGCTGGTAGCAGATTTAAAAGCTTCATTCACAATATTGCTGTCTGATATCACTGTTTGCAAATGGCTGAACACTTCTTTTGCTAGGAAAATGAACAAAGAGCAACAGTTCAAACTTGTTTTATAAAGTCTCGTACACTACGTGCCTTTGCTATGGGGAGAATAATTCACTTGTAGCTTAATGCCACATTATTTTAAATAATTTCAGCAGCATTGAAATTGTCTCAAACATGTGTAGTCTCCATGAAATTTAAGAAATCATTTACTTGGTTTGACAAACACCATTAGAGGTTAGAATAAACTCCCATGAAAAGATGATGGTCAAGGAAGGTAAAGGTGAAGGTGGATAGCAAAATGATGAACTTCAGTTGAAAATTTCAACCCCAATAATTTTAATAGAGTTACCTGTGATATAGCCCTTTAAACCCAAGATTTTTTTTTATACTGTACCACTAAAAGCCAGTGGAGAGTGGAGAGTGAAGGAGATGAGCACCACCACCGCAATGCTTAATTCTTTCATTGAATAACCAAATTTATTCAGTAAAAGAGCCTCCTAATGAAGCACCACCACCGCAATGCTTAATTCTTTCATTAAATAACCCAATTTATTCACTAAATTCTATACCTTCTGCATTAAAGTTTGGTATACTGTCAACTTCATATTGCAATGGATTGTTCTCCAGTTTCTCCAATGCTCCCTGAAAACATGACATAAAGATAAGCTTGGGCTGAGCTTTTTTGAGTCTTGATGGACAAATGAGCATTGCTTTCTTTTGTTTACAAAATATCATTGGGAAAGCCATCTGTCTTCCCTTTCAGAATTAGTTTCTATTAACTGTGATTTGAAGGGGAGAATGGAAAAGCCCACTGTGACCTATGACAAACTGATAGATTTTATTTCCAAATTGCCATGTATTTTCATGCGAAACACAGGAAGAATTTACATTAAGAGTAACAAGAGGCTTCATATCAAGCATCCATTCCATAATGGTTGCTACATGTACTTGCTGGTAAGAATATCATTTCAAATAGCTTGCAAACAAACTTGGTCATAATGAAACTCATATTTTGAATAAGTGCAACTTTTAGGGCACAATTATATTTCATGAAATAGAATTCATAAGGTGATCAATTAGTGTTTATATGGGTTAGTGAAAAGTTCTGTTTCTGTCATCCACAGTAGAATATACAATTCTGTAAGTTCTGTACTGAGAAAGGTTTCTAGACAGGTCAACTTTTTGCTAATCAGCAAATCAGTCATGATTTGGAAACAAAGAGGCCTAATCTAAAAACACCTATTCATTTCTGGTTCATTGGGAAATTTACAAGCTGTTCCTGAAGAGACTGTCCAAAATATCAGGTCTTCAATACAGCCTACATTTATCCCCCTCTGATAAGAGTCTAGATAGGATCAGTTGGTAACATTTTAGCATACTTGACAGTTGAAAAGTTTACCTTAAGACAGGCTTCAAATAACTTTTTTAGTCTTTCCTCAGGTGTCAAATCAGTAGGAATCTCTTTATAAAGCTCTGCAGCACAACATGATGCAAAAAAGTTTGTTGGAAATCTAAAGAGAGCAGTGCCCTTTAAGTGCTGGTGCTTGTCTCTCTTTTTATAGCATTAAGCTCCTTGAAGTACATTATTAATTTTATGGGATGGTGTAGTGTATTGAGAACATAGTAAAAGTACTTGTACCAATGCTAGTATTATCACTGTGGGACTACTGAATGATGTAAAAGTATTGTGATTAAGTAACAAGATTGTATCAGCTTATTAGATACTTGATCAATGAATATTAATGATAGAATATAAATGAATACACAACAGATGGTATGCTGTTCCCATTAAAAAACAATCCTCAAGCATTTGGTCAAGTTTTCCAATAGATTGGTGATACCCATTTACTCTTTTAAGTGGTGAGAAAGGCACTGTCAAGGCTTAGAGTCTTGCCTAAGATCACAACAGATTATTGGTATCATTTATCAAGCCTAAGTGTATCCTTCCTCATTTGTAGTCCAGCATGCTCAAAGAATTTACCATTGCTAAGAAAAAAATTTGATAAGAAATCATTCATAGCCAAGATTTCACCTTGACAGAGGCATCTCCACCTCCTTTGCTTGGATGCATGATGCACAAGTAACAGGAAATAAGAGATACCTTTATGCAGGCTATTACAGCATTACTTGATTTATTCAAAATACAAGTAATTAGACAAACAATTATATATCACAAACCAGACTTTGCAGATGAAAACACAAGAGACTTGCGTTCCTTCCTCCCTCTAACAAAGCTTGATCTTCTTTTCTTTTGTTCACTTTTCTTTGCAGTTCCTTTTTTCTGAGGAGCCTTAAAAAGAAAAAGATCACTGTACCTCTTTAAACCAAATGGCTCATAACTACCAGAGCTTTTACCAGTCTGTGTATAACTTCATAACAGGGAGTATCTCCTTCCAAATTATGGAATGTTGGGGAATTACAAGTCATTCCCAACCTTTTCAGTCAGGTTTCCTTCACAATTGGTGATTCCCAATCATCTTCCTAGATCAAGAGAGGCACTGCAATATTTAAGAGTCTTTGTCCACAAACACACCACAATGACCTTGCTATGGTTAGGTTCCAAGAGATCTGAACAAAATGATATATAAATTTCCTTGATGCAGATAAAATCTTACAAAATAAAGAGCTAACAGCATTCTACCTTTCGGTAGCGACTCTGGCGCGAGAACTTGAATCCACTTGCTTGTAAGCCTACATCCTTTAAAATAAAGTAACAATTTTTCTTATTGCAGTTGATGGTTGAGAGAAAAATCTTACCAGCCATTAAAATAAATTCAATGAAACTATTTTGAAAACACATGTATCTTGAGAAAGATGTTAATGTTAATTCTGTGATTGCTAGTTAAATGTAGAAAGATGTTCAATATTTGTCAAGAGCAATGGAGAAAGAGAGAAATTGGAGCAATGTTAGAATACCCGGCCACTCATTTACATGTCATTGAATAAGAATAGCATCTATTGTGTCATGCCTTGATCTTCAAAGCCTCCTGACACATGTAAGTGAGGCGGACCAAAGTGACCGGGTATTCTGAAGTTTAGCCAAGAAATCTGAGTCCTCTATGTCTTCCAACTGGTTTACAGCAAGGCAGGTTACAGCTGAAGGTAGCTTGAGAAGAAACATGTGGCCCAAAACAGACAGAGATAGTGGGAGGTTTCCATGAATCTATGCTCTACTTGAAATAAAAAGGAATCTGTCTAGTCACAGCCTGGCTACAGATGTGAAATGAGAAACTATCCACTAAAAATTCAACATAGTTATTCAAGGTACAAGTGATTAATATCATTTAAATGCACAATAGGTAAATTCCCCTACCTCTGGTATTTCTTCTGTGCGTTTGGTTCTTTTCCTAAAGCCAAAGAAACCATAGTTGAGCAAGTGTTCAATGGGGTATTATTGTTTGCTGGTTTTTATCATCATTCATCTTAGGCTAATAACAAAATATTCAAGCTAAAAGAAAGTATCGACATCCTTGGTTGAAATTTCTCTTAACCCTTTAACTCCCAGAAGCGATCACTGAGTAACTTCTACACAGTCTGCAAGCGGTGCTGACCTAAGACATCTACATAATATCATACTCTCTGATCTTCGAAACATACTTGTGACACTACCATATCAAATATTCATTTCGAACGTCAAACTAGAGGCGTATGAAGGGACCCTAGTAAGTAGTAGGTCCATTTGTGAGCTTTTTACAGTCACCAATCTCATATACAGCTAAAACAAACCAAAGAAATATGGAAACTCACCTCGTAGATGATGACCTCACAGTCGCCATCTTGAATTTAGCGCCTTGGCGCGAATTGCGTTTTGCGCATGTTCTTATGAAATTTTCCCTTGGAGCTTGTAAGGGAGGGGACTGGGAGCCAGCTTAGTTTCCGGGTCGCATGACATCGAGAAAGTGTTTGGACGGACGTACAGCAAAGCGTTTTGGTTTCTCATTTCCGTCTATAGGGTAGCCTTGAGCTGACAACTGATCGAATCCAATGGCTTGGTTTTATGTGAGTTGTGGGTAATCTGTGCGAGAAGATCACGTTGACAACTCGGGCTGTAATATGGCACTTGTGGCGAGACGTCGAGAACTTAAGACCCAACTGTGCTAAGCTAGTATGGGTCAGCAGCCAGTTAAAGCGTTAACGGAACGATCAAAATCTGGGAAAACGATCAAGGCATCTGGGAAGAGCAAAGAGGCTGAAAAGTCAGAATTTCATACTGCTACAGGTAAGATTGAAAATAGATTTGAAGATCTCTTTCAATTCCGAATCGGATGTTTTTGGAATCTGATCAACCTCAAACACTAATGTGATAATGTGTTTGAACTGTTTGAATATGTAAAGCTTGAAATTTTGTTGTGGAATTTGATCAAATATCTGCTGACCGTAGGTATGTCAAGCAAATACATGTCTCTACGTCTAATGACGTACAAGGAAAGCTTTGACTCTCCGCACAGTGTGATCTTTACCTTCCGTCTAATTTGCAGAAAAAGAAATTAAAAGCGTAATGCACTTGGAAAAATTATGTCCGGCAGCGGCTTGTAATTTCGCACGCAAAATGTACATCACATTTTAAATGGTTAACCAATCCCTTTCGTGGTCTGTAGAAATAAATAGCTCCACACAACGTTAATTCAAGCGAAAAGTTCGCCAATTCAAGCGAAAATTCGCTAATTGACTGCGATTTGTATGATTTACCTTCCGTCACTCTGACCTTCAGGTATTGATCACTCTTGTAAGCGTGTTGTGAAAACAAACTACAGCTAAAGGTTGAACATTAATCAGCATCTTAAAGCGTGCTAAGCAGGGTGCATACGTCAAAAGTTATCATATAAGCTAGTATTTATTGTTGTTTGAATACTGGCCCCCAGAGTGAAAGCGTACATTTCGCAAGCTTTAATTGAATACTTCCTTTTCCATGTGTGCATTGATTTATCGTTTGTTATTTATATATATAGAATGTATGACAGCCCAGATAAAATATTTCCTTATCATTAATCTGTTCAATTAGCGTTAGACTATTTTTTTCAGTGAGCAATATAAAGCGAGATTGAGAGAGATTTTTCAACCTTCAAATATTTCAAGTCTGGAAGACAGTTTGTGGGTTTTAAGCTGTCCTGTGAAACCTGTAATATCGTAACTGTTACCTGTTGTTTCAAGCCACTAAGTAATAGCTAATCACAACACTTGTATGGTTTTTTGAGTACTCTGTTTAGTGGATGAGAGTACAAAGCTGTCACATTTTCACTTCCTTAAACATGTGATAATTTTAGATTCTTTCAGCATTACTAGTTATGACTTGCTTTGGAAGAAAGATGAATTATTTACAGCAATTTTTTTCAGGTACTCTGTCAGAAGGGAAGTTACAAAGGATCATTTTATTAGCTAGAAGTCTTCATTCTGTTTGGGCTGAGTGTTTTTTTTCTTTTTGTAACCGATTGACATTTACTTTACTCTCATGATCGTAAATATGTATAGTATTTGTCTGCAATCGCCTTTAATAAAACTGGGAAAACAGGGTTTCTTTAAATCCCCTTGCAGCTTTTTCTAGTGTCCATCTGTACATCAAATCTGCTTGTAATTAGAAACAAGAATCAACTTGTGTAATAATTGTGCTCTTAATGAATGACTTTGCTTTTCATTTACTTTTAAAGTTGATCTTACAAAGCGACCTTTGCCTGAAACACCATTGGAGAAGTCTGTTGCAGAATGGGACTCTAAGGATGACCTACTTACAGATGACCATCGCGATAAATCAATATTTATTGCAATACATGACTTTCAAGCTGCTGGCAGCAATCAGTTGACTATTCGAACAGGAGAAGAATTGGCTATCATTCGTTTCAATGACACTGAAGAATGGTGCGAAGGTCAAGCTAGAAATGGAAATATTGGCTGGTTACCGAGTAGTTATGTGAAACCTGTGAACAGCTTGGAAAAGCATTCTTGGTATCATGGGCCTATTTCACGTAATGCAGCAGAATATTTACTCAGCAGTGGAATCAATGGAAGTTTTCTGGTTCGTGAAAGTGAAAGTAATCCTGGACAGTTATCTATCTCATTGCGGTTTGATTCAAGAGTGTATCACTATAGAGTCAGCCATGCTCCTGATGGCAAAATGTATGTCTCCACTGATAATAGATTTACATCAATTGCGGAGCTTATTCATCATCATTCTAAGCATGCAGATGGACTTGTAACAACTCTTCATTATCCTGCGGCAAAGACTGATAAACCCACTGTGTACAGTTTTTCACCTGAACCAGATGAATGGGAAATACCCAGATCAGAAATTGCCATGAAACATCGTCTTGGTGGGGGGCAGTATGGAGAGGTTTATGAAGGAGTGTGGAAGAAGTACAACAGACCAGTGGCTGTGAAGACCTTAAGGGTGGGTAGCTCATGTGCTTTCTCACATTTTGTTAAAAAAGTATCTTTTTAATTATTAATTTTGCCTTTTTTTACTTGTCTTATAGACAGGTAAAAGGTTGGTGCAATATATCCTAAAATTGTCATGCATTTTTTTTTTTTTAGGGAAGGGGGATGACCTCTAACAGACTTTTAATGAGAAATTTCCCTCAATGAAAAGGCATAGAAAGAACAATGTTTGATTCCAAAACCAACTTGAAAAGAGATGTTTAAAAATCATTGATTTCAAGATACTGTTTATTTAAAATAGTCAGAGCATTATAATCTCCAGTTTGAAATGGTGGAAAGACAGAATCATCTGAGTTTAGCAACAAAAGGACTTTTAAAATCATTTCTATCCTTAAGGAAAATAACGAAGCCATCATTCAGAGAAAACTGGGCTTCTTTGATTTCTTTATGGTACATTCAATGGTTCACACTTATGTCTTTACAATGTCATGAAACTGTTAACCTGACCCTAAGCCTCTGACAGTTCATTGGTACAACACCTCATGGTATAAACACCACCTTGGAATTCTTGCATGATAGTAACTAGCATTAATCCTTAACTTCCAGATGTGGCTAACGTGTAACTTCTGCCTATGATATCCATATGTTTCCTAGCAAATGGTTAACTAGGATACTAAAACTTATCAGGAAGAAATTTTTATCTTGATATTACACCAAATTCTCATAAATAATTTACAAGGAATTATGTAGCAGCAAGAGGAGGGAATTCACAATCAGATCTTGGGAGTTGAAGGGTTAAGGTCAGTAAGAATGGCATTAAGTTCATTGGTGAGGAGATGAGAGAACAGTTCTATGAAATGTCTGATAACAGCACAATTTGGAAGGGTTCTTTACTCACTGAATTATGAATCATCTGATCTAGGAAGAGACAATGGAGGTGGATGAATTCTTGAAAGAAGCATCAGTCATGAAAGAAATAAAACACCCACGACTGGTACAGCTCTTAGGTGTCTGTACAAGGGAACCACCATTTTACATCATAACAGAGTTCATGACCAATGGCAATTTGTTGGACTATTTACGAAGCACTGCAAGCAAGGATTTGAATGCTGTCACACTGATGTACATGGCAACACAAGTGGCCCATGCTATGTCATATTTGGAATCAATGAATTTTATTCACAGGTAGGAATTTGACATTGTTAAATACAATGAAAAGAGCTGAACTATAGATTGTTGTGGTCCAACTAAAGTACTCTCGAACATTTGCTAAATATTCTAAAACTTCCTTAGCTGTGCTTGAAAAAAGATAACCAAAATGTTGAAGGTGAAAGTTATGTATTCAATTAAGAAACTGAGGATAATGATTTGAGCCAGAAAGTACAATTCAAGTTGTTTCAGTCTACAGTTTCTATCAATTTGCTCTAAGTTTCTGTTCTGAAACCAGAAAAAATTTGTAGAATCAAGCAATCAGAAACATTATTTACAAGTAGGCATGGACACTCGCAGAGTAAAAGTCAAGTTTTCAGTAGCTTACAGGTATTGAGAGGTTTTTCTCGTCAAAACATCCATTTAGTGTCCTCTCCTGGGAAAATTTTGGGCATTTCCCCTTCTAGACTTGATGTAGGTCTTTTTTTACATAAATATGAACTCTTTTTCCATCTTTGTGTTTGTTATTGAAGGGATCTTGCAGCTAGAAACTGTCTTGTGGGGGAGAACAATCTTGTAAAGGTTGCAGACTTTGGTTTGTCGAGACTAGTGACATATGACATCTACACAGCTCATGAAGGTGCAAAGTTTCCAATCAAATGGACAGCTCCCGAAGCTCTGGCCTACAACACATTTTCGATTAAATCTGATGTTTGGGGTATGTTATACCCCTTTAGAATTTAGATTAGTCCCTGTTATTTTTTGGTCCAATAAATAACAATTCTATGGTGGTTGGAATTTTGGCCAAAAAAGAAGATACTTAACAATCAGATCATTTTCTAAATGGCGAGAAAACCTCAGTAGCTTCCCTTAAGGCAGAGGCTCAAAAAGGTACAGTGTAGGAGAGGGTTCTTTGAAGGTAATTACGAAAATGACTAGTATTCCGAGTACAAAAAATTCTTGATATAAGAATGAAGTTATTGGACCACTGCATGTACCTTAATCAGGACTTAGAATAATTGAAGAAAAATATTTACTGGGTTTCAAAGAATGCAATGTTTTCATCCTCTCAAAACTGTTATAGGCACTGTATCAGGAAGACAGATTGTCTTATTGTGACTACTGTCAATCATTTCAACCCATCCATTTAAGGATCCATGGATAGTGATTGGTTTGCATCTATTTCAAGATTGGCAGATGGGTTGATAGGTTTTTGTTTTTGTTTACAGCATTTGGAATACTTTTATGGGAGCTTGCAACATATGGTATGTCACCCTATCCAGGAATTGACTTGTCGCAAGTGTATGAAATGTTGGAGAGTGGATACAGAATGCCTTCCCCAGAGGGCTGCCCTCAAGAGGTCTATGAAATGATGATGAAATGTGAGTCATCTGTGTTGCGTCTTATTAAATGATATTATAATTTGTCATGAATGGGGGGGGGGGGGGAATAGGGGTGGGGGAGAGGAGATTAATCTGTCTTGAGTACTCCTCAACCAGTTTGGATGTTGCGATTGGTGGCTCAGTTAACTGCACTTAACAAAATACTTAGTGTAGGTTACCATGTGATAAGCATTTAACACATTACTATTAACAGTATCCTGTGTGCAGGAGAGCTGGTAAATGATATTTTGCTTATTAGGTATTAGTTAAAAAAATGTTTTTATTTGCTGAATAAGTTCCCCTCAACTCCTGAATAAGTTCTCCTCAACCAGTTTGGATGTTGTGATTGGTGGCTCAGTTAATTGCGCTTAGCAAAATACTTAGTGTAGGTTACCATGTGATAAGCATTTAGCATATTGCTATTAATAGTATCCTGTGTGCAGGAGAGCTGATAGATGATATTTTGTTTGTTAGGTATTAGTTAATAAAATGTTTCCATTTGCTGAATAAGTGTCCCTTGTAAACTGTGGGAAAATTGTGACACCAATGAAGTATTAATTTTAATTTGAACTAGGTAGTTGTTGGGATTTATGTAAATAACTTAAATTAGCAATTGAAATACTTGTATTTAGGTTGGAGCTGGGATCCACAAGATCGACCAACATTTTCTGAAATCCACAAATGGTTGAACACAGTCTTCTCAACAACCAGTGTTGATGAAGGTATTTTGTCCATTAAAGACCTGCTTCTTATTTTTTTTTTCACACATAATGGTAATTGAACACATGTTTAGGGAGAAGTCTTGCTAACTAGTCCACATCATAAGTTTCCAATCCCTTTACACCCTAACATCAGTATGCATATTCTCTTTATTGTTCTCTATATATCTCCCAAGGTGCTGACATGGAGAATTTGTTTAACAATCAGGAGGTTCTTTTATTTTGTTAGAGATCATTTCTTTTATTCTTGTGACCTCAATGTTTGACTCAGGGGTGAGAAATTAGATGCTAGTCACCTTTAGGGGTGTGAGGGTTATTTCGCAGAACTGAGCAACAAGGAGTGTTGCTACTCCACCTGCAATAGCTTTCATCCCATTCTGGGACCATGTAGCATTTTGTGATTTTCTGCTAATTTTCCACTTCCCATTCATACCTGTGCATCTTTGTGGGGGCTTGCTGTGAGAGAGTGTTTTGTTCAATCCAAGAAAACAATACATTGACCTACAGCAGGGAAGATTTTCTAAAACAGATTCAGACATAATATAACAGTGTAATGTTATAACAAATGATTTAAACCTAAGAGCTGAGTCAGAACAATTTAACCCAAGCTAATCTAAATTGAACAGTCATATACATTTTAGATTAGGATTTTTTAAGTAGCTGTTTTGATTTTTTTAAAACAGAAGTGGAGAAAGCTTTGGAAAAGAATAAATCAAAAAAAGATAAAGGAAAGAAAAGCAAGAAAAGAGGTGAAGCCAATGATTCTTTGTCAGCAAAAGACGAGAACACAAGTAGAAAAAAGAAAGATGATTCTCATGGCTCAAAGTCAAAAATGTCCAATATGAAAAAAATTACCAGCTCACTGAATCCATCAGGGCCTCCTCCAGAACCACCAGCTCGGCCAATGCTCAAAGATCAAAACTGGGAGAAAGAAAAGGAGGCACGTCCCTCATTACCTCCTGTACCAACTAACCCTGTGATGTCCAATTTGATGAAGGAATTGGGTAACAGGTCTGGGACACTGAAAAAAGGACTTGATAAAGGAATTGTTTCAAATAGCAGAGAGCAAAAAGAGGATCTTCCTTCAAGATTTACTGCTGATAACCTGCACAAAAGACCACCTGCACCTTTACCTCCAGAATACCAACCTCAGGAGCAGAGAGGAGCACCTCATTTCTCAAACCCAAAACAGCAAGAAAATGGAAATAAGCCTACTCCACCCTCTCAAGGATCCCGTAAAATCACACACCCGCAACCTCTTAGCAAGCCACTTTTGCCACCACCCCGACAGTCTCTACAGAAATCTTTGTCCAGTCCATCCAGTCAAGCACCACTTTCCCCTCCTCCTCAAATGAATAAGAGCACAAAGTCACCTTTGCTAGAGGAGAAAACCAAAGAACTGGATGCCCAGGTGTCAAATAAAGATAAACCAAGTAACTCTGCCAGGAAGACAAGTGCTGCAGGAAGTAAACCCTCTGATCATCTGAATTCAGAAGTGAGCAAGCCAAAAAGTCCAGTTCCAAGACCACGGAACAGACCCCCTCCACCTCCACCTCCAATCTCATTACAAGAAAGTGGAAAATCCACCTCAAATTCAAGTTTGTCATCTGGGGATACAAACCTTTCAGAATTTTCAAATGATGGGCTAGCATCTCCCAAACCTCGCCCAGTACCTCGCCCAAGGCAGAGGGGAGAACAACCATCAGAACAGAGTGATAGAGGTTCTAAAATTGAACCTCTCAGGCAACCACCCTCAAAATCGAAACCAATGCATCCACCTCCATCAATCCCGGACATTTCCAAAAGACCTTTAACCAGAAATAATTCAAGTTCAAGCCAGCAGCAAGTCAGTTCTTCAGTAGTGAAGCCAAAGTCATCTAGGCCCAAACCAGCTCCTTCTAAACCAAAACCTCCAGTTAAACCAAACATTCCCAGGAAACCTAAAACTACCCCTCCCAGTTCAGGAGCTGATTCTAATCTACCACCCAAAGTAAATGAACTTTTGCAGCTTTCTGACCAATGCCAATCAAGGATGAGGGCAATTCTCTCTCTTACTGATGCTAGAGTAATGGATGATTCACATAATAATCTTCTTCAAGCTATTGATGAGCTCAAAGGAATCTCTCTTGAAGTTCTAGAGACATCATCAAGCTTAACTGACTCTCTAGAACCACAGGCACGGTTTAAAGTCCGTCGAACAGTTACAGATCTGGAGGGTAAATACAGTGACATGGAGGGTGTAGTGGAAACTGTGGGACCTAATCCTAATGCTGTTGATATGGAAAGGATTGGAAAAGCAGTGATCAGTTTTTCTGAGGCACTAGAAAATGTGTGTTCCACTGTAAGAGCTACTGCCTCCTGATATTTTATCTGCATTGTGGATACTTGGAAAGAAAGAATCTCACAGTCTTAGAGGAATTTTGAAATGAGACTCAAGAGTAACCTTGAATTGCTTCAGTTCTGTTTTTCCATGTTCTGAAATTGGTCGCAGAAAAACTTGGACTTCCCTCTTAACCAATCAGATGCGAGACCTGGTCACTCTCATTTTCCAGTGCTTGAGGCTAGTTTCCAATTTTTACTTTTAATTCTCCTTGACATCTGGTGATATTAATGGCCTTTGTTCTGATTTTCCTTAATGATTTCTTTTGTTCAAATGTTGGGAAAGTCAATCCAAAAAGGCTCTTGCATTTTTCAATATTTTTTTATTTTGCAATACCAGTAGAAAGAAGGCTGGCTTTTGATTCATTACTTGCACACTTGTGATTAGCAGCAATCGTCAAGTTGTGCAAGATTTGGGAAAAATTTTTACCCATGAAACACAATCTAGGAAGCGTTAATGTGTAAATATGGGTAGTTTTTAATTTCATTTTTTGCCAGGCTGTTAATGTACACAGACAGTTTGTGATTTACATGAATCAAAAATATCTCTTTGTCAATGTGAAGCTACACCTGTCGGGTTCAGAAGCACCTTTTCCCAAATTATTAAAACATGTAGAATTAAAACTGTTACAGGTGTCAAACCCTAGACAATTTAAAGTGCTTTTCCAGCCCAGCAGAATTTCTTTACCCTCCCAAGGAGGAGTTCTTGCTTTTTACTTGCCTTCCCTTTCTTATACCTTCAAATATATGTCTGAAAGAAAGGCACCTATTGTAACTTGCATTGTTCTTATATGAAACAACACATACCAGAAATTTGCAAACGATCAATGTTGAATTGATTATGTGAAATAACTAGAAGAGCTAAGGATGCAAAGCCCCCTTCTTATTTCTGCTCATTGTTTGGGCAAGTAATTAGAAGGAATTATATTTCATATCTCAAATGTTGTAGGAATAATGGGTCATAATTTTTACATTTGGGTTAAGAGAAAGGCAATAAGCTGTAAACTTGATTGCTCATTACAAGTTTATAATGATAGAGGAATTATTTTTAGACAATACTATAAATTCCCCCAAAAAAGAGCAAATAACTCTTAATTGAATTGAAACACTTGAAGTTTGTTATCACTTTGAAGGAAGTATTCAGAGACAGAGTGCAGTAGATGTGCAAATTGAATGCAACTTTTTTTTTTTTTGCAGTGGTTTTTTTTAACAGAGACAAGCTTAAAACTCAGCAATTTCAACATACCAAAGCTAGTTTTTAAATGAAATGCTAATATTTATATATTAACGTGCATACATTTTTACATGTATTTGTACTTATTCCCATCTGCCATTTACTTTTTATCTGCTATTTTTCCATTTTTTTTTTAATACTCTAACGTTTGGTTTGCACATAGTGGTTCTTCTATTTATTGTTCTTAAGTTTTGATAAATGTTTTCTTTGGATGTCAATCCTCTCCATCTTTCTTGAGATAATTTTATGCATTATCAAAACAATTCCCCCATTCTTTCAAGCCTGGTTTCTGCCCAAGATTGCCTGGACTACTCTGATCATTCTGAACACTGAACACTGTGCAGTGGATTAGAATGATTGGATGGAAACTGGGCCTAGTGAAAAAAGGTGTCATGTGATCCAGATGACCAGTGTGCTTTTACATTAAACCTGTAATTCCCACCAGTGATTAAAATGCAACTGCTCCCTTTCAACAGGTAATGAAAATACTTAACAACCATTCTCCAAAGTGGAGGGGGCTTGTGGAGGATAGTTAATGAGTCTTGAAGCAGTAAGGTAAATATCTAGCACTGCCCACCAACACTGAGGTGAATTGTTGTTTTAGTATTCACTAAAACAGTGAGATAATGAAGCAAAAAAAAGAGATGATTTTAACATTTATTCCTGCAACGATTACAAAATTTTCAGGCATAAATCCTGCACGTGAATGCTTTGATGTGAATAGCAAAGGATATTCAGAGTATGAGTAGCCAATCAGAGCGCTTGTCTAATGCTATCCATTGTTTAGTAAATACTAATTAAACTTATCAGGTTTAAGTTATTATCCTGATCTAACAAAAAATACTTGTAACTAATTTACAAGGAAATGAGTAGTAGCAAGATGGGAGAATTAAAAATCACAACTTGGGAGTTAAGGGGTTAACCTGGTTTTTGTATCACTTGGATTATCCTTTTTGGCTCAAGAAATGTGGGAGATCAGGATGATTGGGTCATCAAGTAGAAATCAGGCCTTACTCTTATCAATTTTATACTTGTGAGGAGCAGTTACATTTTTTTATCTACTGCAGGAGTGAATTAAATCTCAGACAATTTCTTTAGAGGGATTTGCAGGGTACAAATTGTGCTTATGATCATAATGGAGTAAGTTTAGTGTGTCATAATCACAACTTGAGTTATATCCTTAAAATAATACCCACACAACTCAACAAAATACCTAGATGTCACAAATATTGTTGTATTTTGACACATTTAATTCCTGAGACATGAATAGGAAATCATACAATGTTATTCAGTAGTACTTGTGAACTACTAATATAGAACTTATAAGCAACAATTGCTTCCAGTAAATCTGCAATAACTGTTTCTAGCCACAAATGTGCATGCATGATGTAATTTGATGTTGAGGATTGACATGCAATGAGCTAAATAGAAGTGAATGTTTTGCATTGGAAGAGAGATATTCATTACTTATTTTTGAGAGTTACTGATTTACAGAAAATCTGTTAGCAATTGAGATTATAATTGTACAATTTCAGATGAATGTATCCAGAAAATTCAAAGTTGTTGTCAATAAAGACTTGCAGTAAAAATAAAAATCTCCAAAGCTTTTATTCAATCATTGCTTGATATAATTTTGATGAGGTGCCCTTGATGAATATGAGAGGACTACAAAGTTGCAGGGCTCTGCAAGCATTGTCTTGGAAAGTTTTCAAAGACTACATATTGCACTAGCCCTACAGGTACTTGTTTACACCAAATTACAAATGAAATCATTTTATTTCCAACACTTATCCACCAAACAGGTAACAAGAATACTCGTACATATCCAAAAAAAGGTTATTATCCTGATCTAACCACCATATTCTTGTGACTAGTTAAAAAATCAATGTAAAGCAGCTGCATCACTTTGATGCAATGTTCAATCCTCTTGACAAGTACTATTACCTTTAAACATTAACTTAAGGTGATCCTAAAAATAGTCACAGAATAATTTGCTATAAAATTTCCCAACAAGGGAGAAAATATAGACAAAAAGTATCAACTTTTCTTATCAACATTACTTGGGTTAATTTCTTTCCTTTATTTCATGGCCATCATGCCCTATTCTAAGCAAAAATAAAGAACACTAAAGGTGAGATAAGCTATTAATCAGCTGCAGCTCTGTAACTCCAAGGGGATTCCAATAACTAACAATCTCTTGTTTAGTGCTCATTACTAAGAAAACAAGTGAAGGGAATGGTGGCATTTAAGTGTTCGACTACATATGGAGTTAATATAAGATAAAGGCTCTTGATCTTGGGATTAAGATCAAGGTGACTATCATTGTTACCACAGATCATTGCTAATTATACCAATGAATATAATACAAGGAAAAACCATACAATACCAAATTATGTATACGAGTTCCATGGATATGTTGAATGCATAGAAAAACAACTTTACATGTATTTACCATTATGGTACTGCAATCTAAAGTCTTGAGTAAACAATTCAAAACAGGTACATTGCTTAAAATAAAACTAGCCTGTACCATGTTGAAAGTGGGCCTGAAAAGTCTAAATCTAAAATGTTTTATTAAATATAGAGGCAATAAGACTGGCTACACATTAGTGTTTAGAGACCCAGCACAAACTCTCTGATGATGTCGGGGGCAGCAGAGTCAAACCCAGCCATGTCGAGCATTCCTCTGTCATCTGGATCAGCCAAAGTAAATCCACTGGATGTCATTGCACAGACAATGAGCTTAGCATCAATACCAGACTGAGCCCTGTATTGCTTGAGAGCCTCACTGGGATGCACTGGTCCTGCCCATGTTTCACAGTCGGTGTAAATAATAAACACATCAACCTTAAGGTTATTTTCCTTGGCATACAACATAGGCTGTGCACAGTCAGTACCTCCCATAGGAACCTGTAAGACATGTCAAATATTAGCACTAGGAAACTGGTGGACATATAAAAACTGATTGTATGACCAAAAAGTTGTAAAAATAACTTGTTGCTCTCCCTGACACAAAGAATAGATAATTTCAAACTGTTAAAATCACTATAAAAAGTGACAAATATTATTTCAATTAAAAGCAGGGCAAGATTTGCTGTGGACAGTTAAACTGAAAGCATGATGTGGTAGGTCTTTCAAATTGGTGCATATAGCCTGAAAGTAAAAGATTACATTCCTAAATTATGTTTAGATACATTGTATAGAACCCTTCAAGTTCTACCCCACAACAGCATAAACCCTGAAGACTAAAAATATGTGACAGCAAATAAAATAACTTGAAAAGTCCAAGCTATCCAAAGATGCATACAAATGTTCATTTGGGAACTTGAGATCCCAACTAAGCAGTCAAGATTTACTTTGTAAAAGGAACAAAATCTGAATTAAGCTTAAGTCATTTCTAAACTCACCTGTTCAATGGTTCTTAAAACTGTGTCAAGTCTCTGAGTGGAGTTAATATTAAGAGGCACCAAACGATGTGAAAAGCCTACAAAATGATACTGTGGCTCTGTGCGGGCTGTTAGCATTGCCATGGCAGCAGATGCAACCCTTGGGGTGATGGTTGTACCATTACAGTTCCCCCAAGACATGGAGCCACTGACATCAATAGCCAGAAGATATCTCTTGTTGGTGGGTTGAACAGTCTGAAAACAAAAAAATGGAATTTCTATGAAATTATTTAAAAGTTACAATAATGACCAGGAGTCTGTTCCTTTAGAGTCCTGGCCCTGGTTGTTCAAAGCTGGGTTAAGGTAACCCAGGGTTAGTGTGAAATTTAATTTCAGGTCTGAAAACTTTAAGAGAAAATTCAGTTCAAATCTTTTTGCTTGCAATTTGATCATTGGATGTTCTAAAAAGAATAGTGAAAATTTTCCCCAAAAGACTTTTGAACAAAGAAATAAAGAAAGCTGGATTAAAATTTAACCCTGGGTTAGAGCTAATCAGCCTTTGAACAACTGGGCCCAGCTGGTAACTAAAAGATCCCAAAGCCATATTTCAAAACCAAAATTTTAAGAACAGAAAGGTAGGTTCTGGTACCCTAACCAATCCATCTTGTTTCTTTAGCTTATAGTCTTATTTCATAATTTTCCAAACTTTTGAAATCCTCTTTTGAGTGAAACAGCTTTATTGGCTGATTAAGTTACTGGGACCTTCACAAAATGGGCCCCAGGTGATATAACTTTCAGGCTTAAATGATAACTATTAATGATGTGGAAAGTGGTTAGTGGAAAGATCTTTTAACCTTGTAAAGTAATATTCCTATCTTTTTATATTCTTCTGACTAGAGTAGCTCTGGATGGACACTCCAGAATAAAAATAATTTAAGTTGATCACTGTCTTGAAATCATATCTGAACCATTTTTAAATTTTTGATAGGTTTTCTTTCAGATAATATAGATTAAAATTATCATGCATAACTCAATTCTTTGATCTTAGACCTGTAATATAACTTAACAGCACAGAACTGAGTTCTTACAAACTTAACCTTAAAGCTTATGGGGTTATACACACTTGATATGATTGGTCTTTCTTATGACTAACACAAAAGTCAGGTACAAAAACAGGAAACCCTCTCTTTCACAAACCTTAAATGCAATGTAAAATGCTTCATCCAAAGCTGAAACAATTGCTTGATTTGGTTGCCATGTAAGCTTCCCTTTGTCTCCTTGACCTGCTTGATACTGCTTCAGAGCCAGAAGGATGGAGAATGGGTGAACACGCGCACTCTTGAGGCTCTGCTCATCCCTCAACTTATCACAGACTCTGGTCATTCCATCTGTCAAAGGGGCTAATACACCAACACTCGTCATTTTCCCAAGATTTCTGATCATGGCTGTCATAGGCATATTTTCAAGGAGTGCTTCCCAGATCTGTTCATGACAAAAAGGAACTGTTTTAATTACCAAGAATAATTCTAAGGCCATTATATACAACCCTCTGAATTTAACAAAATGAAAAGTTAAGTACATGGTTTCAACAAGAAGGTAACAAGTCTTGTGTAGTGCAATTTTGCAGGTGAGTAGTCTTCAAGGAAACCGTTGTCTGTGACAATTACTGACATTTCCTCAATCTGAATAGGAGTCCTATTCATGCATAATCACTTGACTTCACTCCAATGACCATTCTACCCAACTTGTCAAAACATCACCTAACGTCATTAACACCAGCCCCTTCCATACACACATTTGCTACAACAATCAGACAACATGTTTAAAAGGAAAAGTGTCAGAGAGATGTTGTATTGTTTCAGAGGTAACTTTTTAAGCCTGGATCATAATTTTAACAAATCCACAAATGATTGGGTATTATAAACCACAAACTGATTTAAGGCAGTACTTTTGACATCAATTAACAAGCATCAATTGCCTTCAAGCTCAATGAAACACCTTATCGATCTCAGTTCATAGATATTTGGTATTACAAGAATTTTTTTCAATAACTTTATTTTATTGCGTTTAAACTAATAAATTCGTTACCTTTTTGGAGCTAAGATGGTTTGTGGGAATATGTTCCCTCACCAGCCCATGCCTTGGAATGGCGCTGACCAACTCGTCTTCACTCATTGTCTTGGCTTGTTCTACCCCTTCTAAAAAGGTATACACAGAGGTAACATCCTGACTAACTCCAGCCTTCCCAGCATCTTCTTTAACAGCATCAAATCCTTTAATCACATATTTCACAACAAATTGAATAGCTGGATCGGTCGGTTTTACGTGGCAAAGTCTAAACAGGTCCCGGTGTGACCAGCCATTGCGCTGTTTGTACTTGGTTACGGCCACTGCAAGACCGCGTGGCTTCTTCCCATTGTACCATTTTTGAATTGCTTTTCGATGTGCTCTGCCCCAGCCAGTCGATGGTTTGCTTAGGGTCTCGCAGATCTCCACGAAGTTAAAGAGGTGCGTTGGAATTCGCAATACTTCGCCGAGGGCGGCATAAGCAGCGCGTTTGGTTTCCATGTGCTTCGATCGAGCACACAAGGCCAAAGATAGAATTATCGGGTCTTGCTTGGCTGTACGACCCTGTGTGCTGTATTCGACTATAATTTTTACGGCTTCGGGTCCCCTACCTTGGGCGATAAGTCGCATTAAAGCTTGAGCGTTCTCTTGCCCAAGTTGTTGCTGCGACGCGTAGTACGTTCCGCCTTCACTTCCAAGCACGAGGAAGCGTCGAAACCGCACTAAGTCATCCACTTGCCATACAAAACCACCAGCTTCATTCTGTACTTGGTTTGCTGCTATCGGCTGCGATTGTGGCGTATCTGAGGGGTCATTCGCCATTTCCACATCCTGAGGAGCTTGTTGTTCAGCCATGAATCTAATACTTCCGCCTTTGTTCCTTTATTCGTCAAGTACTCAGTTTCACGAGCCTTTTAATTCACTTTCGTTCACTAAATGCACACGGACCGAGCTTACGTATGTTTTTTCACTCTGCTATCGGTCTAAAAGTGTCTAGAGAGGTATATTTTCTTTCTTTCAGACGTAAAGATCTTTGACTTAGCAAGGTGTAATGGCTGACGCGGCAACGGGGCTGAGTGAGTTTAACCCAGACTCCTCTCCCTTAGAAAGAACGGTCCATTCTTTTCCAGATAAATTTTCTACCCGATCCTCTTAAAAAATTGCTAAGTTGGCATTCTTCAACGCCTTGATCCACAATTTTTCTTAAAAAATTATCTTGCTGTTACAAAAATTTGAAAAAACGCGAAAAGATTTGGAAGACTTGACGTGATAAGAAACCTCTTGGGTAGACTGGACCCTATACACCATACATTTCATCATCAAGTTGTAATCTATGTTTTCTGCTTCGGTAAGCACTTTCACTTCGATTTCAGCAAAATTTAACACAATTACACAACAATCTTTTTCCATTTTTAAGGGCTTGATTTAGTTGATGATGAAATCGATTACTTCAGACGAGACAATCACAGATTGGGCTCACCTTGTTCATGGAGAGCGAGAAAGAGATCTTCAAAGTGATGGTGGAGGTTTCGTTACCAGGCCTTTGCGGCAGAGCTAGTTTCGGACTATTGATATACACGATACCCGTCAATAAGGAAGGTTCGAAAGCATAGGTTGGCAGTTTCTTTTGAAATTTACCCTCTTTATGTATTTATCATACTACTGCGTGACATCGTATTTAATTTTTTTTATAACATACCGTATTTCTTGGAATAAGCGCCCAGGCGCTAGTTTAAATTCCATCTAAAAGGAGGGGCGCTTATTGGAAGGAGGATGGTTATTAAGAAATAATAAAACAAGTAGCAAAAGAAATATGTTTTCCTTGCATCCTCATTATTACTTAAGAAAATGAGGGAGGGGGAGTGGTTGGGGGGGGGGGCGGCGGCTTATTCGAGAGGGGCGCTTGTTTAATGTTATGGCCAAGGGGTGAGCGCTCAGTCGGGGCGGGGGGGGGAACGCTTATTAGAACGAGGGCGCTTATTCGAGCAAAATACGGTATTTTCTTTTCTTAATTTTTGTCGTCTTCCCTTTTTGAATGTATGCTATTATCTGATATTTTTATTTCAATCTGGTCAAAAATCTCATGGTCATATTGAGTCTCGATGTGGGCACAAAACATCCAGGTACGCCAAAAAGATCCTAGGCACGAAAGCGTCCCGTGAACCCTAAAGCACTTGGTACTTGTTTGGTGGTATTTGCTTCGGAACTCGTACTCCTCACGAAAGTTCAACAACGGCTTAGCTTTTCTTGCATCTGAAATCATTCTGTAAATGTTACGGGAAAATGGCAAGGGGAACAACAGACGAAAAGAAAGGACTCCATTTTTGTCTGCTTTCGTTTCCCGAGTTTCACTTCTTTGTGATCGCCGACAGTCGGTCGTTAGTCAGCCGACAGGTATTTTCTGGTTTTATCAACCGAGTTGTTAATGTAAATTGGCCACTGTTAAGAGTTTCAAAGCTGACGTTTCGAGCGTTAGCCCTTCGTCAGAGCGAACGCTCTAACGAAGGGCTAACGCTCGAGACGTCAGCTTTGTCGATCTCTTTACTGCGACCAATTCACATTATCAACCCAGTTGAAAAAACCAAACTATCTTGTTATACTCCCCCACCGACGAAGTATCACAATTTCCTTAGAAACTTACCTCCTTTATTCAGGTATTTTCCTAAACCCGTTCTTCACAAAGACTGAAATTTTAGCTAGTCATTAATTGGAAGTTGACAAATGAAAATCAGTAATACATCATGACCTTGTGTCCATGTCACGGAGATATTTTTGGATCTTCTCCCAAACAAATATTTTTCACTCCTCTTCAAGTTTAAGGTGGTTTACTCTTCGAGCGAATTAGCCTTTGATCATCTTAGACAATCGGATCGACGGGAACTCTACTCGCTGGGTGATTGTGGTTTGGCTCCACACAAAAATAGAAATAAGATATTACAATGTAGTAGTCAGGAATATTCCTTGTCTGAGTCGCAAATCAAATTCAAAAAGTTGGACTACATCTGTAATCATTTTGTCAGGAGTCAGGTCAAGATCATTTTAAAAAAAAGGTGTTGTTATGCGTCCGACCCCACAGTGCTTGTCAAACGCTTGTTAATTTCTTTCTTTCTATGACCGTTTATCTGTAAACTTTCGCTAATTTTGTTTGTTTTCATGATCGACCCTATTCAAATGTTGTATAGCCTTAGGAACCCCTTGAACATGCCACCTGCACTAAGTTTCTTTTCCACCTGTCATCTAAATCTTCAATCTAATTCGTCAGTTTGTTCTGAGCTTAATGTTTTACTTAAAATGCAGAACTGAGTGAACGAAGAAATTACTTTTCCGCGATCATGCTCAAATCTGTCACTAAAAAGTTGAAACCGTTCATTGAAGCAAAACTTAATGAGGAATATGTGTCTATAGCGAACGATGCGAATTTGTACTGTTTGGACTACATTGAAGAGCGACTGAAACGCTCCAATATCGATTCAAATCTTGAATTTATCCGACCCAAAGCTGTGTCTGAGAGCACTCTATCAATTTCTTTAAAAATAATCGAAGTCGGCGAGCTTCTGGAAACATCTTATCCCCATCTTTATAACAATGTTTCAAAACAGCTCAAGGTAAAATTACGGAGCGAGGTAATAGTCGGCGATATTTTCAGAAACTTTGGACGCGAGCTGTTTCGGGAAGGTGTCACTTGGGGACGAATTGTAGCCCTGTTCGCGTTTGCAGCTGCTATCAGTGCCGACTGCATAACACAGGGACGACCAGAACTCGTGAAAAATGTACTTAGTTGCGTCAGGCTCTACGTTTTGGATCACTTGGCGGTTTGGATAAGGAGCCAAGGCGGATGGGTGAGCAATATATTGTTGATATCTCTGTATAATCAGTGTTCGTGATGAAGATAACCAATTAACATAGACGTTTTTAATCTTAGTTACACACTTGTTTTCTACACCAAAAAAGAAAGTTTTAGTACGGCCATTGCCGAATCAAAAATAAAACGAATGATGAACTACAAAAAATATTTTAGTGAAAACAACTTGATGCGCATTATGTAAAGACAAAAAGGCATTTTGAATAGCTGAAAGCGAGGATGACTTAATTAATGCGATTTTTAAGATACATTTATTTTTTTCAATTTTTCGGTATAATAATTTCTGGGAAAATTTCCAGATATTCTCTGACAAAGTTCAATCATCGCGCCAGAAAAATAGAGAGTCTATAAATCGATTGCTCTCTTACCTATCTGAAAATTAACCATTTATTTAGGTTACTCTCATTTAATGAAAAAACTAAATATTCAAATACGAGCTGAGAAAATTAACTTTAAATATTCAAACCAATCCGGGAACTGATATCAGAGGTGGAAAAATTAATAATTGTATTCTGAGACAGCAAAACGTCGTTGAAAACAATAGAGGCAGTCGATACGGTAATCGTGTAACCGGAAGAATACAGCTCTGACATATTTGCATAAATCATCATATTTCGACTGGAATGATTTTCAGCAAAGATCACTTTTGATGTTTCGTTGGTTTTACGCTTAAATTCTAACATTAGCATGCATATTCTCCATACTGCTCTATGTAAACTTCTAAAGTGCTGACAAGGAGAATTCGTTGAACAATCAAAAGCTTTTTGAGTTGATGATCATTTACTATATTCTCATGACTTTAATGTGTGATTCATTGGTGATATATAGAAAGGAGAAACTAGATGCTAGTCACTCTTTGGGGTTAAGGGGTTAAAGAAAAGAAAAGTGCCCTGATTTTGTCAGTCATAACCTCTTGCGTTCGCTCATATGCAATGAAAGACGAATTGGAAAAAAATTATACTCTCACGTAATAAAAATAATATTTAGATCTTAGCATTATTTCTCTTCCGGCCAAAGCCCAAGCAAAGAACTCCGAAATAAATCAACCTTATGATCTGTGAAAAATTTCAGTCTTACTCTGACATTAAATAAGTGATGCTCTTTCCTTTTTTGGACAGGTTGATATCAGTGAAACATTTAAATGCATTGAAAAGAGATATTCAATGGCGTATTTCCTTCGATGGTTTGACTACAACAGATTGTGGCTGGTCAATACGACGAAGGAAAGACTTCACTCGTTTCTGTGCGCAACAATAGAGTGCATTGGTCTCATTGACGGAGGCTAAATATCCTGCTCGTATAATAATACCAAATAAAAACAACATTTATCCCTTTTATAGGGATATGTGTATCATATAACTTAAAAATTAAATGTTAATCAATCCCCAATAAGCTAGTGTTTGTTGACAATCTAGCAATACACTGGTTTAGTTATATACGCCTATGAACTTGACTGCGAAAATTAAAAGAGAGACCGGGATCTGAGGCGAATTCCGCACAATGTTCAGTAGTTAGCAGTTTCTATTAGAACAAAGTCAGGAACTTTAAGTCAAAAATAGCAAGTTTATTTCAATTGAGGCTCCAATAAAATATACTTTTTAAAAAACATTTTGATTCATACAAAAATAACAAAAAATATTTCAATTTCATCAGTTTTTGTTCTTTTTGCTTAATTTTTTTGCCGTAAACAGGAATATATTATTGTTTCAAGGACATAATTTTGATAACCATCTCTCTGTAATGATATATTTAAATACTCCTAGCTATGCACTCTCATTAATATATTGTATTGATATTCCTTTCATGGCAAAACCTACTGTCGGTTGGCTGAAGTAACCAAAAAAAAAAGATCCTAAGCCCACTAATCGAGTTGGACATATCACGCCAACACGTTATAACTTAACCTCTCACGTTTGCCCAACGGCAGCATTGCGATCCAGCGACCAAATCAATGAAATGCGCCCGTCTGTGACACACATAAACGTGCATGTTAGAAAAAGAGTATTATAGCCTATCTTTCACCCACCTACATGGTACTAGTGCAGAAAACATTTTAGTGAGCATGAACGACTTATTAAGTGTCTAAGGATAATGACGGCTTCTTTCATTCGCACATTTCTGTCCCAGCGACAAATTCATCGAAAAAGAAGGTCGTGCAAGCCATGTATTATTGCTCGAAAATATGTGGAAATTGTTCAGTATCATTGAGCAGTCTTGCCTTCGGAGAATGAACCAACAAAGCGTGAGATCAAGGGGTTGGGTTGTCAATCACTCGGTGTATTCTCGCCCCTCAAAAATAGACCAGCGGTCTCGGTGAAGCGATGTTTTATTGAAAATGGGAGCCATTCATTCGTTTCCTGTCGAATAATGAAAAGAAAGAAAGTTTCCTATCTTATAAAATTTCGAAAAGCGGAGAGTTACGCGCCGTTAAATGAGTGACGTAAAACAGGTTTACTGTCAATTTTGTCCAAGCAGAGGCATAACAGAGGCCTCGACTGGCTACTTCCAGAACAGGGGTCTAAATGACTTCTTCTACTGCCGATAGTGTAACAGGCAGATGTGCCCAGAAAAGTGGGCGTAAGGCAAAACTCAAACAAGAGAGCTTGTTCGTAAGCTAAATACGCGTCAGTAAGAGGTCTTAACCCTTTAACTCCCATGAGTGACCAAAAGAGAATTTCTCCCTACAGTGTCAGTGCACTATTAGGCAGACAAGTAATGAGAATAAAGAAAAATAGCGATTAGGGGATTTTTAGTCGATCCAATGCCAAATTCTCCAAACTAACATCATAAGAATTGCATGGCAGATAGTCAGGAAAATTACTGATAAGATATTGGGAGTGAAAGGGTTAAAGACGGCGGTAGACCACCAGAAACCAGGTTTAACAAAAGCACTGTCATAAACAACACATGTGAACTACGGTTCACATTCTTGTGAAGCTACCCACCTCTCCTCTTTGTTCTTGCCATAGTGACAAAGCTCCTTCTTCGTTGAAATTACTCGCACAGCTGAGGACCAGTGGATCTTGTTCTCTGTGAAAAACAAATATGCCATTAAATGATTCTGAAAATTTGCCTTACTGTTTCACAATCAGAAACCATAGACAGTGTCCTATTTCCCCTCGTTCACTAAAAAGCGCACCGGGTTAACATGAGGCGTGGCTTTTTTCTTGTGACCTGTGTATGCCGGGGAAAATCTAGCTTTTGTTTTCTGTGGTGCGGGGGAGCGGAGGACATCAAAACGTCTCGAGTAAACCCTTTACACCTTAACTTCAGTGTGCATATTCTCCACATTGTTCTCGATACATTTCCTACGTTGCTGGCGAGGAGAATTTGTTTGACAACCAAGCGCTTCTAAAGTTGGCGATCATTTCCCTTATTCTCGTTTGATGTTTGATTCGGGGGTGATATTGTAAGGATATATAAAATGCTAGTCACCTTTTCATGAGAGGCAGCTTCTTTCATTCAAGTGGCATTAGGGAAGAAGACTAAGTAAGAAAGGCCATGCTACAGAAGCAAAAAACAAGGCCGTACACAGATACTTTTTAAGCCAAAGCGAGGGCAAAGATTCCGGGCCGAAGCAGATCAACTTTGAGTGACATTGACATAGTAAGGGCTGAGAGGGGCATTGGAAATAGCTTTTGAACGTCAAGGGCAACATTGGTAAATAATTGTTTAATAACAGTAGCCGAGATTGCTCGAAAGAGTAGCAGTTGTGGAGAGGCTTTAAATGGACGAGTGATTGAACGAATACATGGATTAACCTTTTAACTCCCAATATCTCAGTAGTAATTCTCCTTACGGTGTGCCATACGATTCTCACTATGTTAGTTTGGAGAGTTTGGTTTGGATCAACTAAATAATCCCCTAATTAATATTTTTGTTTATTCTCATCACTTGTCTGCTTGATATTGTATTGACACTGTAAGGAGAAATTATTTCTCGGTCACTCATTGGAGTTAAAGGGTTAAGGAACAAACGAAGAATAAACCCGGGCCAATTAAAAAAAAGAATAAGCAAAGAAACGAACTCAATAATGAACAAACAGTAACACAAACGGATAGAAAGTTTCATGCCCATTTCTCTTACCTTACTAGCAGTAGACAACGAATGGCTTCTTCATTGATGCGGAAATGAACTCTGAGCCTCAGTCTAAATCTGTAATCACTGTAGTACATATCGGTGTCCTGTTTAATTTGTTCGCCGGACGGGTTTTGTGCCTGACTTTCGTGGTCTTGGGCGTTAACCACGTTCTGACTGTCTACAATTTTCTTGGACATTTCAAGAGACTCTCTCAATTCACTCTCACTAAATTCGTCAATCGATGAAATTTCTTCGTCGGTACAAGTATTCACTGTCTCTGGAGAGGAATTTACTTCTGATTGCGTCGTGGAATCCTCGATGCTTGGCGTCAGTTCCGGTTCTTTTATTTTTTCCTCTGTTTCCGATATCGTTGGCAAAAATTTGGTCGAACTCTCCTTGCGCTTTTCTTTGTATCCTACAATGAAACAACGCAACTCGATTAACGCGTCACATATGTCTTTGACAGATGCGAGTACTCTCGCTGCATTGTAGTTCGCTGCACCTGTGGTGCAAAATGCTGTGTGATTGAAAATTGAATACTAAGAAAACATTGTCATCGATAACGTATTTGTATAAAAGACTGACACGTATTGCTCATGCGCGTTCCGAAGCGAAAAGCAGCAAGAAGAATTCCTACCCCTACCCGGATGGAATGCTAGTCCATTGCCAACATAGCTGAACATATTTCCTTTATGTGGCGCTTACTGGAGCAAAGGAAGGCCTGTTTTCATGGGAAAAACAAACAAACAGAAACTGTTACTCACCTTTGTGTTCGTCAAGGACCACATAACCTTCGTCTTCGAATTTGTCATTTCTAGTGACGTCAAATATTAAAACTTGTCCGTTACCAAGCCCTACCCATAATTCTTCACCTAGAGCCATCATTGTTGTGACCCGAGATTCGCAGAATGCTATTACCTGGAAAGAGAGGAAGCCCGACATGAAGATAAATGTCTCGTCGAATAATTTTACCACTGGAAAGTTACAGAATAGCTTTCCTACCCTTGAGTCAGAGCTGGTGTCGAGGCTTGTGACGTCATCGACCTTGAGAAGCACGTCAAAAGTGGCGTGATCCAACAAGAGAATGCAAGAAGACCTGCAATCAAATGGTAAATATGATTTGTACAAAGTCAAAGAGAACAAGTTTCTCTTCTTTGCAACTTGGGCGTGGTAAAGAGGATGAAAGACAGATGAAAATGGTAATTTGTTTTCAATTTAAAAGACAGTGCGTCTTACCCTCTCACGCTGCACCAGACGCCATGTTTACCGTGCGTTAACTTGGAAACCTGATGGCGACGCGAGTTTGATACAACCAGTGAACCGAGCTCACCAAGGGAACTGGTGAAGAGAAACAAAAACAGCACGAACTGTAAAAAAACAAGTTTAGCGTAAAGGTAAGGCGGTAACTTGCACTCCCATGAAAAATAATTCATCACTGATGTCTGTGTTTCATTTGAGCCTCCAAAATTTAAAAGAAAACGAAAATTGCTCTTGAAGGTATTTCTTGAACAACGAAGGAGTTAAACCACTACTTCCCACATGTGATGCAAATGTAACTTTCCCGTGCAATTTCAAGGCCATATCCAGCAAACAGGATAGGAGAAAAGACAAACTCGTCACCTGAGGGCGTTATCCTTATTTTAAAACGAATTGAAGAGCAACCGGAAGGCAGAAATATCAATCAAATGTTATGATTCTGAACCTTCTGAAAAAAAGTTGTCTTCCCCATGGCAAATGTTTCGCAGTCGCGTCAAAGGGAAATTTTGGACGCGTTTAAAAAGATGTTGCGTAAGTGTCTTGTACGATACTGTATACTGTCAACAGATTGTTCGTGGTTGCGAACGGGGGGTCTGTTTATGTTCCATGAAGTGTTCAGATAAATGATCCAGAACAAAAGTTGTTGGGAGAAATCTATTTAGCCTACGAATAACTCAACACCTGCTGATACGGTCTAAGGCTTTTCTTTCTAAATAAGTGTTAATTCGATTAGTTCACGTTAGTTAATACGATTGATTTTAAAAAAACTACAAAAAAAATTGCGATATTTGTGATGTGATTACCTATTGACTCTGCGTAAATACTTGAAAGAAATATCCGGTAAAGGCTGAATAAAAACCTATTCTCTTAATGTAAACATACTGTACGGTTATTGGTGATAACATATTGATCCATAGGTACAATGAAATCAGAAATACCACGCAAAAGAAAATAAGGGCAACGACAACCAAAAATATTGAAAGATTTTGTTTGGTACGCGTAAACACTACGCACATCACTATGTTTTGTTTATGGACCAAAACAGTAGGCCTGATTAGCAAACGTCTTGGTTAAGCGACACCAAGACAATGCAATCGATCAAAGCGGTTATCTATTTTGCAAAACAGTTGTTTAATAATTCAGTAAAAGCAGTGGGTGTCTCAATAAAAACACATGTACCTTCAAACAAACTATTCAGAAAGATTCCCCGCATCACCGATACTAATGCAGGAGTTGAGGGGTCAACACTGCAGTGCTTCTAGGGCAGGTACGCTTGCTAAGGTAGGTGTCCAAATTGAATTAACAAGATTGGGTCAGCCCTTAATTCCAAAAAAAAAAAAAAAACGATATGTTCTTTTCGTGGAGCAATCTTATTAGTCTTTTTCTAGAAAGAGTATGTACGGGCAATTTCATAGATATTATTATGCCCCATTTTCTGTTACGACAAAGTGTTCTGATACTAACAAACAGAAACATACTTCACTTATTTAACGTAGCAATGAGATAAAGAATGAAAGAATTTTACATGAGCTACTGCTCTCAAAACCGCTGGAAAATAAGGGCTTTTTAATGCCCCAATTTGACAGTAAAACATGGCTACAATGATTGTTTACAACAAATCAGTTTTTTTCTGTTCGCCGTACAAAAGAGAAATATTCAGATAAGGCTATAGGAATAATATAATTTAGGGAACAGACATGGCAAAGAGGGAAATAAAGATACCATGTTGTTTACAGGCTGGGATCATGCAAGCGATTAACGCCGTAGATAATGGTTTCTAATCTTCTTTGTTCTTATTTTATTGTTGTTATGAAGTCACGAGACAGCATTCTGAAATTTGTGAGGCAAAAAAACACAGCTCTTAAATCTTAGTCAATTCAACTTCGTCTTATTCTTGGTTTGTTGAAAAAAGAGACGCGACTGAAAATTAAAAAAAGAGAAGGAAAAAAAATAAAATCTAACATCACAATTAAGGCAACATCAGCTAAAACGCGGAATGAACTCTGAACTTAAGCACGAGTGTTGTTCACTGACCTTCCATCGAGAATCACCACATTGTTTCCGCAGCCGCACCACACGTTTTCATTCACGAGAGTAATGCACGTGACAGGTGATCCACCGACGCGGATGTGAGAGCCTTCTGATGGAACCTCCTGCCCACTAGCATTCTAGGAAAAATATTAATCACAAGCAGTTAGACTAATTTCAGAGTAACCTTGGTCAAAGACGTCAGAGTAAGATCATTTGGTTTTATAAACAGAGCCGAATCGGTCGAATCTTTCGCTGTAAAGAAAGGTTATCGCTCGAATAGTCAGCTTTTGAAATCTTTTTTTTTACATTATCAACTCAGATGATAAAACCAGCTTATCTTGGAATACCCCTCACCGACGCAGCAACCCAGTTTCTCTAGAAACTTACCCCTTTTATTCTTTAGTCAAAGTAAGATCTTTTACGCTGATTCGTTCGCTCACTCTGTCGGAGACAGATTGGTAGCTTGTTGGACCCAGCGACGGTCAATTCATTTGCTCGCTTGTTTACTTCGTCGGAGTACGAATGGTAAGTCGTTGTACTGCTCGACTTTTACTCGTCTGTCTTTTCCCTCACTTACTCGATCGATCGTATACTTAGTAAAGTTAGTTTCCGGTAGGTTGTTGCACCGTTCGCTCAATCATTCGCTTGTTCGTTCAGTTTGATCGCTGATTCGCTTAACCGGTCGCTGTGTCGTTCGTTGCTCGTTCGTTTCTTCGTCTCTTCGTTTGCTCGACCCATTACCCCTTTGTAAGAGTTATCACCGGGTAGGACATGGGACCGCTGGTTCGTAAAACCCGGCCAGAGTTCTTTTAACAATCGTGAGGCCGTTTGTTTGTCCCTATTAAAATCAGCTGATCAAAAATGATATTTTTCATACCTGTAACACGGCAATCGATCCATCGGCCAAGGCTGCAAAAACTTTTCCTTCTGGTAAATGAGCAATGTCGATGACTGAATCATTAAGCTGGATGCACCATACTTCCGAACTAAAAGAGACACAGAAGTACGTCACTTCACAGAGAGAAAAAGGTAACAACTAACTGCATATAACCAGAATTATCAGTCTACAAAATAAAATGAATCAATGACTTTTGACGGTTCTGTTGTATATTTTCAGCTGTAATGGACGGCAATTGCACACACAGTTAGGGAGGTGCACCTATCGATTACTGTGGATAGTAATAAATCAGATTGTGTGTTTAATTCATAAAGCAAAAGTGAAATGAAAGCAATAGTTTCTCAACCAAAATTATCAAAATATATTCACACCTGAGCTCCAAAACGAACGCATGTATGTACCACGACACCGTCCCCACTAAGATAGTGCCATCGTCCAACATATCACAACATAGAACACGTGATTTCGTCTGCCAATAAAATTGAGGAAATTTGAATGGTTAGAACATCTAGCAGTTGTTGCATTGGTGGCAGAGGTGCCTACGTACCAAGCACCTCGTGCGGAATATTGGTAAAAATTGAAACCACTCTGGAGACCAATTAAAAATGCAATCCATAAATATTCTCATTTTTTTTTGCTTGGAGCAGAAGAAGAAAATTTCCACATTTTTTGTTAATGTTGTGAACAAATGATGACAATGAACGGCAGCATTTCCATGCAATTGGTAATGGTAAGCTACAGCACATCACAAACGCACTTACATCTACGTCAAGCGCCTTCATTTCCTTCTTGTTGATGTCCAGGAGATAAAATTCTGCTGTCAGCCTACTGCTACAGAATAGACACACGGGGCTTGACAAATCTGGCATTGAAAAGCATAGAACAGAAGTTACAAATTGAAAAGATTGATTATTTGTTTTAGTCTAGAGCGGATTTTCCAAACTAAATCTCGAAAACAGAGCAGAATCATTTCATTCTAAGATACATAGATATTCAGTTTACGGCTTAGTGTGGTAAAACTAGAACTTGTAAACTGACGACAGCAGCAGAAAACCAGGGCAAAATGAAAATACTAATATGAACCAATCAGAATACAAAAAGGCCATTGACGTCATTGGCTCTAAGCGCAGGCAAACGCTAACGACTGTTGTTATAGTTGGTTCACGGTGTGGATGTTTTATCAGCCACGATGTAAATTCGGCATGTCAGCGGCGCTGGCTCGCTAAATGTGTTGCGCTAAATGAGAGGAAAAGTCTTCAGCCCACTTTATCTACAACCTGGTTAGTTATGGATACACACTAAATACTTAGTCAAAACTAAATAGGTAAACGATTATGAAACACTGAAGACCACTAGTGTAAGAGTACTTGTTAATCTTAGGCACAAAAAATTGAAATTGAAGAAAACAGCACAAAACCCTTGGAGACCATTGCCATACACTAAACATCAAGATTTAAAAGCAAGGTAAAATAATTTGTGCTAAAAAAGGCAGACAATTTTAACTGATAACTCCGGCTTTATTTGTGTTGTCATAGCTTCCCCCAATTTGATTATATTGGTCTTCGATTAGCGCTTGTTTGCTCGTTGCTGTCCGAAGTGAAGTGTAAATTTACAAGATTATGTTGAAACGTGTCTTCACATTGTGTTCTGATTAGTTTCATATCAGTCAGTTAATAATTCAAAGAAACAATTTCTAAGCCTTGTTGGGGGTGAATTGTAAAGCAAGCTTAACTAAGGCCACATGTAGCAATAACATAAAGGAGAGATTCAAAGTTTCAATACATGAATATTTTTAATAGAAAATTACCTGCAGATGCTTCCATACTTGACATGCAAATTACGTTTCTTTTTAAAGACACTCAATACTTCATAATAAAACACATACCACTGGGCGACACCAAACCCCCTGGTTACATAAACAGGCGACTCAAAAAGATTCAAACCCGGCTGACACAGTAGTCATTGAGAAGAACTTCAACCCAAGAAACCCCACAAAGCTGGTTTAACAAAGAAGGTGAGTCATGTAAGCTCCCTTAAAAAATATAGCAAATGCATGCTCGAATATTCGCTTTCTTTATCAAACAGGGACATTAGGGAGTCAGGACGGCAACGCCGATGAAGACGTCGATTGCAAACTTAATGTATACTTTTTGTTAGAATTTTGCGAAAGGCTAGATTTGTTACGGCGCCACACCTCTGCTTCGGCATGAAGTAGTTTTGTAGTGTTGACTTCCAAATGGAAACTTAAATAACTTTCAGTCGGGGTTTCCGTTATCAGACAACGAACATCTTGGTATTATGGTTTGGTTTTTTTTTTAGCAGAGGGCGGCTAAGAAATGTGCAAAGTTTAAAACGCACGTGCTGAGCTATTTCTCTGCCCCTTAGATCTTTTGTCTTGCCATTTCCTCGTTACCGTTGTGGCTTGCTTAAGAAATGTGCAAAGTTTAAAACGCACGTGCTAAGCCATTGCTTTGTCCCTTGGATCTTTTGTCTTGCCACCTATTCGTTACTGTCATGGTTTGCTGAAGGCCCTCATCTTGCAATCGAGAGGGTATGTTCTAATTTGACTATCTCATCAAATAGTGTAACGAGTTGTTTGTTACACGGTTTGATCCATGTATTCATATCTAGTGACTACGAAACAAGTGTGACTGTAATTCGCGCTAACCTTGATGAAAAGGTATTAGGTAAGATGACAAAGTACTGTCTGTGTTCCTCCTTGGGCCGCATAAATTAACAATTTTGTTGGCGGCCTCGCACTCAAATCAAAGGGGCCGGCTTCAAAAAAAGATAAGCGCCTGCACTCGCACAACTTACAGAGTTAGTCAATTAAATCATAAAATTCATTAATTCCATGCCAACCGCCCTCGCTGACTGTTATTCGCCGCTACGAAACTGTAGTATTCGCGGGCTAGATTTTCAAGGGGTGGAAATACATAAGCTACAGGTTGGTGAGATAACTTTGAAAGCATTTATACAATCAATTTGTACCTTACAAAAATTTTGTTTAATGCTGTTGTTGTTGTTTTTTTTAACTTAATCAAGCATTCTATGGCGGTGCGTGTGTTAAAAATGTGACAATTTTTTCTGTAACAAATCTCTTGTGAAGAAAATGACAAGCCACTCTCTTAAGGACCAAATCTGCTATTGACCCAAAAGGGCACTTATAGCAAAAAGATAAAGAGCTACTTTAAGAACGACTACAATACGATCAATTTTTCTTAACAAAAGGCATACTACTGATATTTTTTTCTTTGCTATGGTAAAACGAACATGGAAACGTTCACAGGTGCCCTTGACAAGGAAACTCTGTTGAAGGAAACGTGGATCAACACACGCTGTAGCTAGGACAGTTATGCGAAAATTGAAACACAATCTACTGAAAAAATCTCTCTGTGGTAGAAAGAGTACCTTGTTAAGAAGAGACTATTGGATAAAGTTTTGTTGATACGTCTAAAAATTTGCAATCTTTACCGACACACGCATTATACAAAGGATATCTATTGACAATTTGGCAGAAGTGAGGAAAAACAAACGTTTTGTCTTCCATTACGGGAGAAAATCCTGCAACGACAATATCCACAAAAAAATTAACTACACACAGATGAAAAAACTAAAACTAAAAACGGAAAGTTGAAAAAATACTGAGTTTAATCATTTTAGGCGGCAGGTTAAATTTCCATTTTTAATTGTAATAACGAAGCATTGTTATCTCCGTTTTACAATTAGAAGTTTTTTGCGTTTTATCTCCCTAAAATTAACTTTCAACATTGTAAATAAACAACAACCTCGGCGGGATCAGTCCTCTACAATCTTTTATGCATTTTTTTAATTCACAAAATACGCTAAATTCGAACACAAGAAACATGCTGAGACGAAACACATTTCGCGAACTACTCGTAAAAAAATTTGAATTCGCCGAATCACTCACTGTAGAAGAGCAAATTAACATTTGTTGGATGAACTGTCTCACCAGTAGGTACAGCAAGTGTTACTCAAATAAAAATCACACGGAGCGTCGTTCGAATCTGAGCTGTTATTATAGATTGGAGAATCGCTAAGTTCTCACCTACGGAGTTTATTATAAACAGTAACAATTATTGGAATCTGAGCTGACAAAGTGTTCCACTCGAAGTGTTATTATTTCACTGAAAGTGGTCAGTTTTCAAAATATCCTAACTTTTCGCCAGTTAAGATAAAGTATAACAACCGTCCTTTTTGCAAATTATACCGACGCATTTGGCTAATGCTAACAATATGACAGACAGGGCAAAATATATTAGCCATGACGTTATACATTGAGATGGAGTTTCAATTTTCCTTGAATTTTCCTCAAAACATCTCTTTCAGCGACTCAAATTTGAACTATATAATTTCCCCTAACCCTAGAGGGCTTTTCAATTTCAATAATTTCCTGATCTGTGGTAACCAAAGTGTTGGGATCGATACAAAATTAATGCAAACCAGATCACGTTTCAAGGAGGATCCAAGATAAAATCATCATGAAATATTCAGTTCTAGTCGCAAATGTTCTCTGCACGCCACTTGCTTAACCTCACAGCGCAACGCAATAATTCTGTTGTTGGAAATGTTTATGGTTGACATTTTGATTTACAAGACTCGTATCACTGCAGGGAGCAAACAAGAACAAGTGAGGTGAATCAAGAATGATCATAAGAAGAAAAAAATTGAAATGATTAGATGCAGTTTGTTTTATTCAGCGAGTTATGGTAGGCGTCGCACAGGACAACGTCTCCGTGAGTTAGGAAACAATCTTTTATAATTATTCGTATTTTCTATATACATGCACTGCAGCCGATGGTCAATGACATGATGGCTTTGCACTCATTATACAACAGGATATACCACACTGAGCTGTCGATAAACACCAAAAACAAAACCCAACAAAATTGAGCAAAAATCACACAAGGAATGATATTGAAGACAACGTAATTTCGTCTTTTACACAGATTGTTACACCGAATCTGATAAAATGGTTTCGTTACTTTATCCTTAGAGGAAGGGATTAGCCCTAAGCGTTTGGCTTTGAACGTTTTTGTTTAACTTTTGTTCATTACATTTTTTAACGAGGTGTGTTGAAAATTGCGTTGCAGAAAAGTTATGTGATTCTGCTCACATTCTTGCTGTATGTAAAACCGTAAACAGCTTCAAAACCTTTTCATTATCTACTGACTCATTCCGACTCTGACTCATGCACTTTCTGTTTATTTCGATGCCTTTTCTTCGAGAAAATTCTTAAGATAAAAAGTTAGTGTTTTACAATGGAAGCATGCTGAGACAGGGGAGATGAGATTTTCGTTTCCTTTGACAGAAATTTATTGCAGTGCAATAAAAAACTGTAGAAGATCACGAAAGATATTAGTAATTTCAAATTTCACTTTGTGTATACGACAATCAATTTTCAATTGTCAATTTCTGATCAAAAGAAAAGTAGAAGGGTAAATATAACACAAGTCAGTTGAATTTGACGCAGTTAAAACTGAGTTAGACTGTGGGTGAAATTTTCAATGAAATGGATGGTTTGAAGTTCATTTGAAAGGTACATGTCATACAATAAGAACCCTAATTCAGGGTCGTAACGAGGTATATTTTTTCGTCGCTGATCCCGTATTTTTACGCAAATTTTTAATCCCTGATCCCAAAAGTGATGAAAATTTTGATCCCTGATCCCACAAAATTTTGTTGATCCCAGTGTTGCCTGATCCTTGAGCCCATGGAAAACACGCTGATCCCGATCCCAAGGGCTTTGATCCCGGATCCGAGGCTGTGATCCCTGATCCCACCCTTTTTTAGGCCTTTGATCCCTGATCCCATATACCTCGTTACGACCCTGCTAATTTACACAAATCAAAAAAGAACCCCAAACCTTAGAGAGAACAATTGTATCAATGAAAACTTAACAATTTAACCGCGTACGATTCTGATATAAAGAGGTTAGGCCCTGGCGTATTCGATAGTAAAATTTCTCATGCTGAGACGAGTCAACCTTCAAAGTTCTTTAGTGGTTCAAGGCAGAATTTTCTTAACTAATAGTGTTTTAAAAAAAAATTTGCGCAAAAAGTATCTTTTGAAAGATTTCTATTAAACTTCGACTGCCGGCAGTCGAAGTTAATGGGAGAAAATCGATCTTGGATCGCTCAGCTATTTCAGCGCAAATAAGTATAATTATCAGTTTTTTTTTGCTGAGGTCAATTAATCCTCAGTTCATGTCCAGTGCACTTCAACACTGAGACTAAACAATAGCTAAGTTCGCACCTGCGGAGTTTTTGCGCGTTTTTCGTTTTGCTTGTCTGTTTGGTTGTTCATTTATGTTTCATTGGAAGAAACAGGAAAGGGATTGAGCAACTAAAAAAAAAGAGGCAGTTGCCGTGAAACCACTCTAAACTTAAAGATTCTATCACCAGCCACCAGTACATTTACTGAGCTTCTTACGCGGTGTACGACTTTGGTGTATGACTTAATTAGCACACGCTTGCCAACTGAATAGTATGCACAGCGCGGGTGCGCAGTCGTAAGGGACAGGAATATCCTTACTTCCATAGGCGTCCTCCTTAATCTGGTAAATCACAGGAGTGACAACGAGATAGATTTTTCGTTTTAAATTCTAACACAGTGTCAAACGAAGAGGTGATAAAAACGAAGATATTTATAAACTACGGGATTGTTACGAGTGTCGATGTAGAGAAGGGTTGTTCCTAGACAAAACTCAGGATCGTCGGTAACGGCAACAAACTGATTAATTTCCACGTAGTTGCCTTATGGACTTTACAGCACCAAGCTTCTTCACAATTCTCTCTGTTTTTTCGACGAAACTATCGCTCTTATATACATAAAGTACAAGGATCTAGAAACTTCTCTAGAGAACTAAATTTGGTGGATTAACACGGTTTCTAAATCTGAGTAATTACAAAAGAAATGGAATGTTCCAGAATGTTCTTATACGAGAAGGTCACGTCTGGATGACTTCGGGTTCTAGACTGTTCTATAGAATGTTCTAGGATTTAACTTAGACAATTTTTCGTAACAGGGATACTGTTTGTGTCAAATTCCAAATTTTCCGTACTAGCCGACGAAGAAGTGTAAGATCATCAGTCAGGAAAGGCAGCTTTCAGATTTTGGTAGTGAAAGAGTTAAACTGTTCCTCTCACATTACTATATAGTTTGTATAGCAAACTTGTTTTTCAGTTCGTATAAAAGTACACTGACGTAAAGGTTTCGTTATGATGTTCGCAGTTTGTGTGTCTTGAAGAGTTAGACCAAATAATCAAATTCGTGTCAAAATTCCCTTCAATGAAATAGCTTTCATTAAAGATATCTTTTCCCTCAATTACGTATATTAATATTTATCCCACGCCGGAAAAAAATACAGCCAGTTATGGAATAACATAATCGGTATATATCGACGCACATGACTGATACTTATCAAACCGTGCAGTTAAGCGAAGACGATTCTAAGATAGGAACATAAAACTTAACGTCATAACCTGCGGAAACACAGATATTTACTTGCAGAAGAACCAATGCAAAACTGCTGCACATGAACATTCTACGACCCATTTCCTCTCTCAGACACCAGGAAATCTCTTAAGACAAAATATGGAAATGGTGCCTGCACTATAGTTAGTAACACTACAACTTGATGATTGATTTCGTACATAAGCTCGCAAAGAAAGTACTTTTATAAAGAAATCCAGAATTTAAAACTTCCTTTCTAAGTAACGTCATTTCTTCAAACAACCCTGAGTTTTCATAACATATGGAAGCGATGTCACGATACCTAAAGCTGTTTTTTGGATCGTTCAAAATGTAGTGAGTTAGAAAACAAGCCTTGTAATGGTAGAGAAACACCAAGGAGGCAAAAACGCTAAAAGGATTCCAAACGAAAGCCTTAAAAATTGAATGCTATTTTTTTCAAGAGGGACAAACCGTGAGGAAAATCCTCCAGAATACAATAGGAAATCTCACAACATAAAAAAAAGTACTCGGCAAAAGTGTACAATAACATAAAAAATATTTCCTTCCGGAACACATTTCTGACATCCACTTTATTTCTTATAGAAGTTCAAATTCAAAAGTTCAAATTCAAAATCTCGGGCTTGATTTCCTGACTTGGAAAGCAACATAATTCCGAAAGTCAAAACAACCTATCGTAACATATTACTTTAGAACACGATCTTAAAATTTAGGAACCCCTTTTTCCTTTCACATGCAGAGAACAAAACTAAAACAACCTGCCCTAGGCTTTTTAAATCAAAACGAAAAGATCGAAATATTAAAATCGTTCATGACTATTATCTGATACAAATGCATTTTTTCGCTGAATAGTGTAATCAAAAACTAACTCACAGTGCTCTAACGCGTGCCAGTGTGGTCGATCTCCATGTGCTGGTGAGTAAAAAATTATTTCATCGCGTCTTTCAAATATTTCTTCAAGGTACAATAGTGGCAAAAAAGCATTGAGAGGCCGAAAATCACACATTACGCCCGTTTTGAAATCTTTGTCTTCAAACATGTTTTGAAATTACTCTTACTTCAGCATCTGAAATCGGATCCATTTTCCATACAGCTTCGTTTTCGCTGTGTTTATTGACATTTCATTCCTATCTTTGTTGAATACCGTCAGGACTCGTCAGGCTTCACCTTCGTAGTTCCAATCACAAAACTAAACTAAATCTAAGATGTTAACGCGCGAACATCGAAAATGAAACAGTTTTTTTTGTTATGGCTGCAGCTCGCCAGAAAGATTTTAGTCCATCTCTCGTAAACGAGTATGGTGCCCTTTCACTTTTTTCCAATGATTCTCTATTCGTGTGTAAAAAATATAAACAACCAGTGGGTAAAGGAAGAGCACTTCTTAGGGCAGCTTCAATAAAACTCAACATCAACTCAATCAGTATTAGTCACCTTGAACTCATCTCGACTTAGCATTTTATATCACTCAACGTGACTACCAAAAGAAGCGATTACACCAAACGGACAAGAAACTCACAACATAACATACAATACTGTTGTCCTTCTTAACTCATGCAATCCTACCTCGACTTGTTGCTAAAGCGCATTCCAGAATTTCGTGTTGATCCGGTTTTTCAAGCTTCTCCTGGTTGGGGATTTCCACAGTGAAAGAACTGACACGGGAGCGCTGTAAACGAAGAAAACTAGTTGAACCAGTTGAACTAGATATGCAAATGAGATAGAATTCAGCTATTCACTGAACTGGAAATTCCCCTTTAACTCTCAAAAAATTCCCCACAAGCAAAGTTACCTAACACCGGAAAAATCGTTTCCGAAGTTTCTCGGAGACTATATTTCACAAGACTTATTTCAGTTCTGAGTCAGAAACATGGGACATATAATGCCTGTACGTGCACTGATGATTCTTCAAAATTATCGCCAGAATCTAAGAGCGGAGAATGTCGCTAATTGAAAAATTAATCGTATAGAGCATTTTTAATCCTTAAACTCCCATGAGTGACCGAGAGAGAATTTTTCCTTACAATATCAATACAACATCAAGCAGACAAGTGATGAGAATAAACAAAAATATCCACTTGGGAATTATTAGTCGATCTAATACCAAATTCTCTGAATTAACATCGTAAGAGTCGTATAACAGACAGTAAGGAGAATTACTAATGACATCTTGGGAGTGAAAGGGTTAAACTCACTCGTCGAGAGTAAGGTCTTCAGATCGCTCAAGAAAAGATTGGAAGGCAGAGAGTCGTGCTTAGTCCCGTTTCTGATCCAATAACTTTCATCGATTTTCAGTGATGTATGTACAGTTTATCATTCGATTCACAATTCATTTCTATGACCATAGTATATGATAATTCTGTTATTTCCAAGCCTGAAATACGAACTTTGGTCCCATCAAGTTTCAAGGGTTCTCGTTCAAGGCCGAATGGAATTGTTTCCAAAAGTTTCCAAGGTCAATGTCAAAATTTTATGCGACGACCTTCAAATTTTCTCATTAATGTCAGAACTTAAGGACAGCTGATTATTTACAACAAGGTTTAACAAACCTATAAGAAGAGCTACCTCGCATTATGTGTTATTAAAAGCTGAGTTTGTGTGTTCAACTCGGTAAATAAGCTGTCAACTTAATGAAAAATGTGTATGAAATAAGGAAGATGTCTTTTTAAGCCACTTCTTTGGGACGGAAACGGGGCACGGAGTAAGGTGTTTCTATGATTTTCTGAAATCAATGTTTTGTTTGTTTTTTTTTTTGCGTTCAATGCAATGAAAATTTATGCACCATTCACGGTATACATGGTGAGCTTTCTCTGCGGAAGAAACTGTGTATAGTTGAAATTCCATTTAGAATCGCGTTAAAAGGAAACAAAAGACAAAAAAACAATTGTAAAAAAATATCAATAAACGAAAGACCAAAGTACTTAGATTGCACCTTATGAAAAAATTGAGAAAGGCAAAAATAAGCTGGATTCTTAATCAACAAAAAAAACAAATTAACAACTGAAAAACGCAATTTAATATTCCTTCGTTGTTTGCACTTGACTAAGCCTCGTTAAAACTCTTTGTATTCCTGATTGCAGGATAAAACCCAACCATCTTACAAAAGTTTAGTTCTTCGAGTGAAACTTCTACAAAGTTTCGTGGCCGACTCTTCGATCGTCATATTGAACTTGATGCTATCACAATCATCATTTTCAATGACTTGTAATCTGGTACTTAAAACAACGGAGAATCGCGGAATTTCTGTTATTTGCGTCAATATACTGAGAGTGAAACAAAACACAAAATTTTCTGTCAAGGCAAGTATTACAGATGAGATACAAAAAAAAAGGTCAGCATTGCACGTTTTAAACGAAGGAGGTCGTGTGCCAAACATAAGTCTACCAACTTTACGTAATTCATTCACGCCACATCTTGAGATTATCCATAATCCCTATAAGTACTCGTTCATAAATACGCTAACCTGAATATTACGGTTGTGCAATTTCGAATCGCTAAGCTTTAAGCAACATTGATTTTTCGGTGAGAGCGGGCTCTGAAATAGGGGTAAGGTAAGGTTTGCTGTTAGTCTTGTTGTTTTCGTAGGAAAAAGCCTTCAAATTGAATTACTCTCGTCGAAATTTCTCTCTAATTCAATAGAAAAGAACCGCATCTAGTTTTAACTTATTAGCTTAATGAGATCTCGATTCATTGACGGTGAATTTTTCAAGTAGAGTTGAATCAATCATTTTACCTTCCGAAAAACAAGAAGAGAATATGTTGGAGTGAAAACAAAAGAAAAGAACTCAAAGGGAAAGCCTCAAGCAGAATGGATACAAAAAACACTCCCGTTCATTTTAAAAATGTCCTTTATTCTGCGCGGAAAAAAACCGACAAAGTTGCAACCTGTTACGAAAGTACGTCAACTTTTACTACATCACGCGCGTTTGGCTGGCCAAAAACTGATGCAACACGAATATGTAAACGGTGACAAAAATCCGTTGGTGCACTTATCCGATACAGGTGTTCATTGCCGTAATCATTGATGATAAAGAAGACAGTGACATAAGGAGGCGTAGAATGACAATGATAATATCGATAATAATAACAATGACGTTGATGATGGCCTACTAGAGTTTTTACATTAAAATGACTGCACTTGAAAAAACAAACGGAGAATCAAACCAAATAACTGGAGTAACATACCGTTCGTTCATCCCTTGTAATCGACCTCTCGTCGAGTCTAGTATCAGCACCACCTAAATACTTTGCTTGCTTCTCGTCCAGAGTTTCTATAGTTGGGAAGACCTTTACGTCTTCATACGATGACTGAATGGAAAAAAAAAAGGTTTTGAATAATTTTGCATCAATAAACGCTCTGCCACACTTAAAAAACTTCCGAAAAAGTCTGGAAACTTGTGTCATTAGACACTTAACGGACATTCAATACAATCAAGTGATCATTTGCTCCGTCTGTGTAAAACTAACTGCAACTTGCGGAGGACTGAAAAATATCAGCTTAGCAGTAAAACGCAAAAGGAGCAACAAGAAACCAAGCAAGACAAGGAATGACTGAGGATGGACCATATTAAAACCGAATACAAATGACGAACTTGAAAAACAGAAGAGATCCGTTCCTATTCATAATATATGCACATAATGTTTTAATTCCAGCACAAACGACTTAGAGAGAGATGAGACAGCTAAAAATTCGATTCTTGCAGTTTCCTGTTCGGTTAAGTTCGGATCAAGGCCTCTTTGCTGACCTAAGCATGCGCGGTATAATTGTACCTTGAAAAGCTGATCTTTGTCGTAAGTGACCCTTGCAGCTCTCTTCATGTACTGCATGATCTCCAGCGGACATGACAACTGCAACAGTGCCGGCTGCTGGACTTTCATTAAGCCAACGGCGATCCGAAATAGGGCCTGAAAAATTTTACGAAGTAGGAAAGCAAGCCTTAGTCACACTTATCATAGATTACTTCAACGGCTGAATTCCACATCAAAGTGGTTTAAATCATTTACAACAAAGATATATTTTCGACGGGAACTAGAACCGAGAGAAAGAACCCCACGAAAAACAATTACTTGTTACCGTTGGCAACTAAACTTGTTCAATTATTGGCAGGTCGATTGTGTTATGCAAACGTGTGAAGTAAATTTCCTCTTTTAAATAAACCAACCTCTCTTCCTTCAAAGACAAAACAATCCCAAATTCTCATAGCGGTCTGCAAAATCGAGAGGAAAAATGTTGATAACTAAGAAGAAGAAAACAACAATAAACTGCGGATAAAGAAAATATGAAGAACAAAATAGAGTGCATCCGTTAAAGAACCTTAGCTCTGCCCAATCTATTGCTCTTTTAGAACATCTGTGATCTCGATGATAACGTTTAAAAATGAGTTCGATTTAAAGAAAAGGAAATGAAAGATGAAGAGTATCAAGTCGCTTTTCGCTTGAATGTGGTGAAACGCAAACCAGGATAAACAAAGGAAAATATCACAAGATGTCGATGAGAACTCAATCTAAACATATTTAACCTGCTTCACTGAGAGCGGAAAACACGAATGAACAAGTCCTGATTAGCTTTAATTTGTGTATCTGATTGGTTGACAGGATAGGGCGAATTTCTAAGCCAACAAAAACACCAAACTACGTTCGACACTCCATTGAAAAACTGGTCTAACTGGCAATGTTATTATTTCCGTCACAAGATCGTTAGGGGTTTCTTGACTCTGATGATAAAATGGTACATAGCTCCTTAATGCAAGATCCCACTTTCTTCAGCATGATGAGCAGTTTCCCTTCTTATTTCACAAAGAGTGGGAAGGGGTTGGAGCGTTTTTTCTGGTTTAATTCACAATGCAATAGTAATGACTGTTTTGATGTGTTAAGATAATGATCTTAAAAGAGAGACTGTCTTAATTCCAGAACCCTTTCTTACACTCCTGGGAGTGATCAGGGTGTAAACTTACCTACTCATATCAAGACGCAATCAAACACACATGCAATGAGAATCAGGGAAATTATCAACAGAAGGATATTATTCCAATTACCAAACTAAATTCTTAAGAATTGTCCTCAAGTAATTGTATCATCGTCAGTTGGGTTAAAGTGATCTTTGATCTAACGAGTGGGAGGATTGAAGATCGAAACCGTAAGGGAGTTTACCATGCGAAAACCTAAGTAAATACTAAACCAATTTATCACAAAATAATATTTTGTTTTTCTTTCCTTACCTCAAATGGAACAGCATCAATGAAGATTGTAATAAACCAATTGAATGTGACAGTGGAGATGTCTACTCCATAGTACTTGAGGTGCGCGTGTAAAGCTGGTAACAAGTCACTCAGGAGTTCATTCAAAACAGACTACAAGAATAAAGTAAGTGAAATGTCTTAAAGGTTTTTAAGGATCAGCTTTTTGGGGGGCTACGTTGAAAAATTTAATTTAATCGAATCATCATTGCTCCTTTCTGCTTTACTACCCCTTCTTTGGTTACCAATCACACAATCATTTTAAGTCTCCTTCGCGTAGAAATGTAATTTTTCCAAACACTGAATAAAGATTCCGTCAATCAAAATCCCCTAAAAAGTCCCTTTCATATAAAGTGCATTAAAAACTACCAATCTCAATCTTTTTTCCCCAGTTGTCAAATCCTATTTCATGATGCAAAAACAACCTTATCACGGCTCAAACAATGTAATCGATAAATAGATACATAAATAAATAAATAAACTAACATTACTAAACCCAAGTTTCCATTTTACTACATTAGAAGAATCAAATGTTGGTTAGTCGAACAAAAACACATTAGTTTCGATGACCTCTGATTGCTGATTGATTTATTGTGATCGTACGTATAAGTAAGATTCTTCCAAGAACTTTAGTTTTCAGTTGATAACAACCATAGAAAAGATATCTCACCTGATCAGCCAGAGCTCCACTCAATGCTTTATCAAAATAGTTTTTAAGATAAACTTCTGAAACAGCGACAAAAGACCTGTAGAGCAATCAAAATAAACTTGACTTCTGTTTTGTCACAAAAAAAACGGTAGCGTGAGAGCTAATTCTAGTTTCTAAGCGTCAGCAACTGGCAGTATTGTTACTCCTCTTGACGTAGAGTCGTTCCCAGGACCACAACATGATCACCCAGCCAGAACTCGAAACTTTAGAGTCCAATGTGTTAAACATTGCGCAAATGCGTCTTCTGTTACTGTTTTGTGAAGCCATCCGGCGAAACCTGACCTGACTTCGGTCGTGTCATTCGATTGATCACTTGTCCCAAAGATTAAGCACACGGAGCAACAAGGTAATTCCTCTATCAGGTTTTACTTTCAGTAATTAACGTAATTTTTTCCCAGTAAGGATCGATTTGTACCAACATCTACTAAAACGGCATTAGTTTTTGAAACCAAACACAAAATACAAATATATCAATTACCAAAAAGCGTCTTCCTCGTCCATAAAAAGAAGACACATGGCCACAATAAAATTCATCCCCTAAAAAAAAAAAAAGAGTTGGATAACTTATGTAGAAAAATCAAAGATAGTAATGCCGAGTTAAGCGAAATATCCTCGTTACAGTTGTACTTCGATTACGTTTAGAAAAACAAAATATGAATGTAATATTCTTCCATGCTACCTAAAGCTGGAAACAGGTGTGTCTCTGAAGACAAAACTATAAAAAAAAAGAGAGAAGTGGTAGCACGTGCGCCTTCTCTCCCGCAGTGACTCACTTGCCTATTAGAGCTGAGCCTCTCTCTTTCGTTACGAAACAGACCAACTGAAGCGATGTTAAACCGTATTGATAATGTCTGCTTTTGCCAATCAGAAATTTTGTAATTTCAGATGGCTCATGAAATACGTGCAGAAAAGTAAACAGTGAATTAATCAGTTCTTCTAGAAGACTCGTTCAATCGAAACATTCATAATTATAAGTCAGTTCGTCTACAGACAAAGTTGTATGTAAACAGTGCTAATGACAACCTTTACCTAACCAGCAAATTCTAAGCTAATAGAAAAAAAAGCCTTTAGGCAGAAAAAAAGCTTTTACTTGAGAAAGGAAAATAAGTTGAGCTTTCTCAAAAAAATAACCAATTTTTTTTTAAGATGAAACAGCTGAACCTAACGGTTCCTATAATGTTCACCCTCTTAGTTTCTGAGGTACAGGAATTTGGTTTGACCTAGTAGAGATCAACTCTATTAAAGTCGAAAACCATCTAGTGGATTAAAAATACGCCTACAAACAAAATGAGATGATCCGGCGTTGCAGCCTTAATTTGAACAAAGAGTAAATGGCAAACGAAAGATAACTTCTGATGATCGAAGTAATTGCATAAGCTAAGTGATAGGAATTGAAACACATATGCTTATTCGTGTAAATAACAAGCTCTAAATTTTTAACTTAACATGCGGGAAAACGTTCTTAAAAAAAAAGCCACGTCAAAAAAACAAAAAACAACGTTAAAGTAAAGCATACTAAATATCGCATCTTCCAAAAAATCAAGATAAATCAGGGGTCATTTTTTTAGCCCCTACCGCCTTCTCATTAGTAAATTCCTCTGAACTTTTAACCCACTAACTCTTAAGATCTGATCATTAATTATCTATTCTAGTTGCCATGCATTTCGTGATGAATTTTTCCTTTCTCTCAGGGGGTAATTTACTAATATTGTAAGGAAAATTTTCGCGTTAACTACCGCGAGAAGTTACCCAGAGTCAATGTGGTATTTAAGTGAATTCTCACTTGAAAAGTCTTAAAAATTACGTGACCTAAGCCCTTAAAAAAAATCATAATAAACAATGTTTTTCACCTGCAATCAGGGTGCCTTGCAAACGTTGATATAAATATTTTATTACACCAGACACAGGATTCTCGCACGGAATCATCGATTACAGACTAGTTAATGATACTTGAGATCAATGATGTGTTTAATAAATACTGATATCTTACCTGAAGATAGTTTATATCTGGACGATGGACACAAAACGCGTGGAGAATCCTTGACAGTTTTTTAACCTGCAAATTAACAAACTTCAGTTGCAAGTCAAATAAAATAAAAACAATTTAATGAGAGATAAACATGGCTGTAGCATTAAAACTTCCAAAAACCACAAAAACCGCAGAACTTTCACGACAATTTGCATCTTGTCACGTCACTTAGCAACAAACAACAAATTCTCCGTCAAAGAGTTGTAGCTTTCCAGCTAAGTAATTACTGCTTCACTGAATGTTTGGAAACATTCACGGCACTTGCTTTGTCTTGAATTTGTCAAGAGTGTATCCTCATCAAGGTGAGTTTCGACTCAAACTTTCTACCTTTCAATGAACTAAATAGCAAGTCTACTACTTGACTAAGGAAATTCCCAAGTTGTTATTCACAGTATTACGTAAGGAGATAAAGAATTTCATCTTCGTTCGTTTGATGGGAGAAATTTGGGCGAGAGGCCTCGAGGCGTCGAGGCCAACTTTAATTTCCCAAACGTTCATCATAAAGAAACTGTGATAGACGTACAGATGTGGTGAATAATTTTCAGTTTTGATCAATGGACACTACCAGACGTAGTAAAGAAACATGTTATATGTTTTTTTTCCATGAGCGTGGTGAAAAGAAAAAATGCGTTTCCCATTGAGGGATCAAACCCTTGACCTCGCGGTTTAATGCCTCACCACTGAGCCAGCGAGAGCTAATTTTACTAATTTTAAATATAGCGTCTTCTAAAAACCCAGTCACAATAGAGCCTCTTCTCTTCCTCTGGAGAATTAAAAGGGCCTTCGAGAAAGATGTTTTTTTTTGCTTGTCACTGGCTAGAGACAAAAGATAGCAAAATCTGCTTCTATTTCTTTCACGAGTTCAAAACTTACCATCTTTCATCGGAACCTATATTTCACTAACTATTACAAAGCACGAATATTCATTTTGTCACAGAAAGTAAACAATCTGAGTAAATTCAGGTTTTGTAAAATTGAACGACATTTCTTAATTGTGTATAAAAAAAAATATCTTTGAAATTGGGAAATAAGTTCATTTGCGAATCTGGATCTCCAGAAACCTTAACCCTGAAATTTCCAATAGGAACATTTTCGCCCTAATCTCAGTTAAATAAGTCACAATCTTACCTCCTCGGAGTCTGCCGATCGGAACCGTTCGTTGTTCGGCAGGGTTCGTAGCAGATCGCACTTGATCTGATTCTCGGTAACACCAAGCGGGTGATTGGCAGAGAGATTCTAAAATTTGAAAATAAGCATCGTATTAGTTTGAAGGATGTATAACATATGTCCTGTCCTTGAAACCTGTGTAAAAAGTCACGCGCAACTCAAAAAACTAACCCATTGAAAAACCATAGAGCATTGGCACAGCTTGCAATATTAACAAAATGCATAAACAGTGAGACGAAGAAATATTCTGAGTTCCTGTAAAGATTCGAATTCAAGCCTATTTGCTTCGACTTCGCAGTCAGCCACGGAGAACTCATTCGCCGAGCCATACGCAAGATTCGTATGTGATAATAAAAAAAGTAATGGTACTGTGTTTATATTACTGCGTATATGAACTTCTTGGAAATTATTTCACAAGGATAACACAATGATCAGGTTTAAGTAGAAATTCAGTGTCGAGCGTACGGGTGGGATCTTATATGCCCGAAGGCAGAAACGGCAGAAACCATCGTCACCTAAGAGCGTAACAACTTCGTATCGCCTGCCAGACTGCACGTCTCTCACAGCTTTGCCAGCTAAGCCGCAATGACAATGACACTATTCTGTTTCACAGCAGCTTTCCAGTTTCCCGTAAGGATATCAGACCGTTTTTGTTACAGGACAAGTTAGAAGTTGAACAGGTTTTTGTCTGAGCTATTGTGCAAAACGTCGGATAAAATTTGTCGACGCGACTGCAACTGAGCCTCTTCTTACAGGCCTTTCTTTCTCAATCGACGAATGCAATACGAAAGGTAGTAGGCTGAATAAGGCGACAGCGCAAAGTCATTTAGAAGCGGTAATTTAGAGTGAAAGGAAGCAGTAAGAGGAGCTAAAACAGAGCGGTGAGACCTTATTGAGGCCACGCGGGCAACTAGGCTGGGTGACTGAGTGAGTGGATGAGTAGAACAATCAGAAGAAATGGTCATTTTCTCAAATATATACCTTGCGTCTCTCCACTTGGAGAAGAAGCTTTTGATAATAATCTCTCCCCTGAAAAATAAAGGAAAATATAAGACTTAATGTTAATTACATTCTAGACACTTCAAAAAGTGCGTTCCCCTCCCAAGAACTCCTGTAGAACATCTAAGCATGTTGTGACCGTTAACGAAGATTTTAATCGGAAAAGAACTGGAAGACAATTACCTTCTCTTTCTTTAAATGTTCTACCTTTTGCGCCATTGCACTAAACAGAGAAATATAAAATTAATTAAAACCCAAACAGTGATGCTCAGATTACTGGCTTATTATTAAATTACTGCAGTTGCTTAAAACGTTCTCCATGGCACACTCTTTCTCATATCTGATCGATTTTTTCCGGTTTGTCGAGGCAGTGGAGACGTTGTTTCTGATGTATTAAGCTGTTCATATATCTTGGTTTTTGAGTCCTTCGTTCACTCAGGGCGCGATACGGAATGGCTCCTAAAGAGAATCACTTGCAACTCCTTTAGAAACAGTGAAAGAACGTCAAACTGGTAAAATTACCTTAACAACCCCACATACGAGGGAGATTCAAGGTAACAAAGTAATAAGAGAAGAGTCAGAACTTGGTTTCAATGATTAAAATGTGTGCGAAACAATTAGTACTCTGTGAGTTTTACATTACCTTCTCCACACTTCGCTTCTGCAGCTTCTGGGGATACCTTCTCTTAACAATGCTTTCATTCCTTGCTGTGGACAAAAATAAGGAGGAGTTCAAGAATAGTGCCAAACTAAATATTGACTCTGCTTATCCTTTTTTACATCTTCAACCATCCCTCAATAAGTTAAAACAAAAAAAAAAAAACTAAAATATCTCGTGTTTCCCAAGATAAAGACGCTGGCTGCAGTTTGCTGTATACTCATTCTATATCTCAAATTATAAAATGTTCAAAGAAATGCGCGCGCCGTGATTGGTCAGAACGAGTTCATTATATTTCCATAAAGTACGCGCATTCCGTCACACGAGTGCACTGTTGAGATATAATGCACGCAGCCTACATCATCGGTACGAGCGCGCGCAATTCACGATACATTTTATAAAAGAAATAAAAAACTTGTTCCTCGAGAGGTGCCTTCGACTCGTGCTTCTCCGCACTTCTCTCGTGTTCTTAAAAATTCCCGCGTGCCTATATAACTCAACAATGCACTCGGCGCGTTTTTTATTTCTTTATTATAAGTTTTAATTTCGTCGTTTCTCGATCACTATGACGTCATAACAAGTGTTCTTTGAACGCCACTTACTCTATATTTTCGGATTTTCCTTCACAAGACGCAGTGATGCTAAACGCAGTGACAATAGACGAAGCTGCTTAAAGCATTCTAGATAACAATGATGTCACCTTCCTCCACCTTCACCATTCTACAACTTGCTACAACTGACCTATTGTAAGCTTCACTTACCTCGTTAAAAACCACGTCTTTGCTTTCTTGTTGCCTAGCTTTCACATACTGTGACCACAAACGGGCATGACCATCTCTGTTCTAGGGAAATTAAACAATTATTGAACACGTCTAAGACCAGTAAAAGGGCGTTATACTTTTGTGAACAATGCAAACTTTCCACGAGATAACGTCGGCACTAAACTGAACAAAAGCAGCCACAAAGGTTGGTATATTTCACCTGATAAAAGCTCGAGTAATGTTGTTTCAGCTCGCGACAAAGGAAGTGAAACAGTTCACTTTCGCTCTCTCTGGCTCCACGGATAAAACCATAACTGTCTCTAAAACTACTTGAAGCTGATGTGCTTCAAAAGATAAGAAAAAAAGGTCATCCAATAAAGAACTCCTAAAACATGAAATCCATGACACAATTGCCCCCCAAGATCAGTAGTTTTTCCAAAATAAGCTACATTCTCCTCTAACGTTAATAAAAATAAACTAGCAACAAGCGGGACGCTTGTCACATGTGAATGTAACATGCGGCCTTGGTCACTACCAAGAACTTCGTACTGTTGCGGCGCAATTAGTAAAGCGTTTGAGCAAAAAAAAATCATTGAAACTAGTTAGATTTCCAATCCTTAACCAAGGTGGACTCAAATTTTCATTGTCCTACGCTTGCGACAAAAGTTTAACATCTTGCTGGGTTGAAATGCCCCTGGAGGCTTGGCTCAATTTCCGCCGTTTTCTCGAGTCCAGTTTTCGATCCTTGCGGGAGAATCGCGGACTCATTTCCCGAACAGCGGTTAGCAGTCGAGTCTATCTAGTGGAGTCTGCCTAGCAACAACCTCTTACTTTCCTCAAAACATAAGCCCCAGTTGGAAAAGTGCAAAGGGAGTGAAGGAGGTTAGTCCTCTCTTCATCTCTTGCATCGAATTTCGCATTGTCTCGGGCAGAGAGGACTGAAAACTGATTCTTCAAAAATTTTCATTTTTTTAAGATTCTCTTGTATCTAGTCCGATTGTAAGTTTAAAAAAAATTCATAAGCTTTCCTTGATCATCAGTTCTGAAAAGTTCCGTTAATACTCCTCTTTAACATCAAAACAACTCGGAGAAATGGTCCAACCACCAGAAAACTTGCCAACGATATTTGAATATTTAGTAATTGCATGTTATTACCCACCGATATTGGTGGTAGCAAAAGTCAGTCGATTGACAATGCGCAGACGACGAGGCCAGAAGTTTATAATGGCAGAAAAAACGCAAAACGGATTTATTGTCGAGAGATAAAAAAGAGAGATTAAAGCTATGTACGACACAAAGCGCTGGATTTTGACAAAAAAAAAAAACGAAAGAAATTAAACTAAAATGGCACTCTTAAATTTCCGTCATTCACGTCAAAAGATGACTTAAATGGCTTGCAAGTGACAGGTGGGCTATATAACCTAGCGGTCAATATGTGATTAGCATCTGCTGGTATCACTCGCCTTGAATTTAAATTGCGATTAACGATGTGAAGATGTTTAATTTCACTAAAGGAAGAAAATATGCATTTTCGCGATAACATCTAGCCTGCCATAGCATGAAAACTTTTATGACAACTGTTTTGAATTTCTCATTGGGCGAGTCTCACTTTTCCTCTTCTCCACCCTCTTCTCAGCGTTGTTGCTGGCTTTTTCTGCACCTGTCGGCGCATTTCGCATTTATGGCAACAAAACTCAATAAGGAGAATTAAAATGCTTACAAAAGAGAGAAAGATTCAATTCGTCTCAATAGGTTACTCTTTTACTTTTTTTTTCTCCCTTTTTTGAGATCATCATATGAAATGCGAGATTCACGTTCGTTTAAAAGTTAAACATGAATCTCACGCTCCTAAGTGGATTCCTTTAAGAAGAAATCATTTTTAAATGTGGGTAAGAGATGAAGTAGTTCGCAAGGCATTTGTTCTACGTTGACTTATCTGACATGCAAAATTTTTCATACTATTTGATCGCTCAACTACCACGGGTAATCGCATGGGGCCGAGTAAAAATTAAGGATAAATATCACGCGTGTCAGGTTTTCAGAGGTTGCAGAAATTCGAGATGAAGCTGTGAAAAACTAGACTATTCAGGCCGGTTATTCAAACGTAACCTAACCAAAGTGGCGATTTTAGGCGATCAACTGACCTTTGCAAGCGGTTTGTTCTAAGTAAAAAGTTTTCTTTGAGTGTCAGCTGAATGCAGCTTTTAAAAAATGCTCACAAAAAATAACTTTCACTCAAAAAGTTTGGCTGAATTGAATATGGTTTAGAACGCAGTTCTAGTAAACAACAGGTGAACTTTGTTTAAATAACCCTGCCTTACTGCGTAAGTAAAGGATTATTCAAAGGGAAAAGAAGTCCCTTCGACAACGCATTCAGTAGCTTGCTATCTCAGAGATCATCTACGGAGACCAGGCTCAAATTGAACGCGCAAGTCGGCACGCGTCATGAAATGTTTCTTTCCTTCTTGAAAAATTCACAAAGAAACTGAACGTAAAATATTTATAAGTTCAAAAACATTTAAGCTATCATGCAAAATATCCCCAGTATTTGCACAATTCTCATACACATCTGTCAAATCCGGTGCAGGTGTTCATATTTGTTTTGTATCGTCATCATGAAAACAACGCACGGAAAAAAATAGTTGAAAGTGAAGAGCTGAATAACCTCCTACGAGAATTACTTTTTTAATTCATCTCTTCTGCTTGACATCGCAATTCAGCCATTCAGTAGCTTAGCTCTCGAATGTAGAGCAACAGAAACCTCCGTTAGTAGAAATCCATTCCCACTTAAGTGATTTCAAAAGAGGTAAGTCTTGAAAATGTTATTCTGTACTTGATCCCTCCTTGATGGGACTTGATGGAGGAAATACTCTTCTTAATTTTTTCATTCAAAGCCATAGGAACTCAATATTCAACGGTATGGAGCAAAGTCAAGTTTCCCTAATCTCATATCTAACAGGAAAATAATTCTCTGGAATACCTACTAGAAAGTTGCACTTGGAAACTAAAAAAAAAAAATCGACAATAATACGAAGTCAGTAAGAGTGCTAGATTGGATCTCTACCTTGAACTAAACCGAAAGTAAACCATTAGAGCTTTTGCATTTATCTTTATTTCCGATAAACATTTAGTCTTTGTGAAAAACAAATGCCAATCCGTTGTTATGTTGCATGGCCACATCGTATGTTACACACGTATGTTTTTTTCCTTGGAGGCTTGCGCAAAGATGATTGGAAAAACTCGATGATGGTGGCCAAGATTGCAAAACAAAGGCATTATCTTTCTTTCTTCCATTTGTTGGAGAAGCTATTCTCTCTCCTTCCACAGTTCTCCTTTATAATTTATCAATCCAAAATCTGGTACAAAACATTTTCCCAAACGATTTCTCACGGCGGGTTCCCTGTCAATTAGCAAGGCACAATGCCAATTCTACCCGAGACAGAAGACAATTTCTGCTCAATAGCAAACAAGACAAAAGAAAAGCTATGATGCCAAGGAGGCTCCAATCCACACTGTTGTTCTCTTTATTTTAAGGAGCTCGAAATAAAACGGAACACCTCAAACGATTTGTCGCGGGAAACGGAAAAATTTTCCCAATTAGCAACTTGGTAATATGAAAAACGTTTTGAGGACACTCAATTGAACTATCTTCTTTCAACTTCTTCGCTAAAACTCAATTTACCATTCTTGAAAAACATTAATGATAGACAAAAACCTTTTGTGGTATTAAAAAGAGTTTTTTCGGAAACTATCAATGATATGAAATGTCAGAGAATCTGGACGCTTTTCCAACAGATTCTCTCAATTGCACTCACTTTCCTCATTAGGTCCCTCTATCGTAGCGTTTGTTGCTTATCTTTTAACAAAACTGTTAGCCTGACAAGCACTCATAGAACCGGGTTTCTTTAGATCTACGGATACTTTACAATACTTAAAATTATACACAGCAAACTGTTCATAAATTCACTCGATATCATACACTGAGAAGAAAAGAGCGATGACTGCAACTAAGAAAAACAGCCTCGTAAGACCCATTTTGCACTTTGAAGGAATAAAACCGATTTTCAGGTACTTAAGTTTTAACACCTGACTTGACAGTGTAAATTAACCACCGTAACTAGGTTTTAAAGCTCACGTTTCTAACGTTAAGCCTTCTTAAGACCAATAAGATTTAAAGATTACGTTCAGCTCATACATAGAATAGAAAGCGATTCAGCAAATTACTGAAGGGATTAAACTAGTAAACTTTCCACCTCGGATATTGCTTTTCTTGTGTTCCGATTAGTTCACTCAACCTCAGTTGTCAGCTCATAATTGTTAAATAATGAGATATACACAAGTTCCAAAGATGATTAATAGTTCGCTCATGATCAACAATTATGCACGATTCGTTGATTTGAGGCACAAGATGAAATCCATTATCATTCGACGAAGATAAGAATAACAAAGGCTTCAAGTGGTTTCCAGGGAGAGAAGGTCAAATGATTGAAGAACTATATGAATCCTTGATAAGTAATACTGGTTTAGACTCACGAAAAACAGAAGATCGTGGAGTGAAAACGTTCCTGTGAGTTTAGACCTAAAATAGACTGTTGTCGAGGACAGTGACTAACGTTGTAACAATCACAACGAACGTCATCATAAGAAGCGGTTCAGATAATGACGTCCGCTCGGGTTGTCAAAACGTCAATCACTCGATCGACCGTGGATAAGCATGTCCGGAGGGCATCTCAGGGAGGTCTTAGTGAAGCTGTGCCATTGTGGCCATAAAACTTCGAGCATGTTTAAGACAAAAATCCTCATTAAGCCACCCTGTTCATAATAGAAAATTAACTAGAGTGTGAAATGTTGACCCCATCCAGGCATGTCTTTCACATTTATTGCGAAGACTTAGGACCCCGAAAAACATCACAACCCGTTGGATTGATAGAAGAGGTGGTGTACACCCCCCCTTATTAGTGAGTGAGCGGCTTGCCAGGTTAACAACTGTGAGGCGACAAACAATATCACTATTTAAATCTTCACAAACACCGGAGTAGACAAATAATTAAAGTTTCTCATTTTTTTTTCCAATCAGATAAAAAACACAGCTTGGAGTATGTTCTAATCACAAAGGGCGTATAGTCCAAACTCAAGAATCTCACGAACGCACTGACGAGACAGACTTGGTCTCCAAATTTCGGCATAAAAGATCAGTGCAACCTCAAAAGCATAGTGCTGCTTTAATCGTTATGCATATTTGTTTCTGGTTACTTGAGCAAGTTATAATTATTGCGATGAGAGAACAAGGCTGAATTGCAATGAAGCAGTAGGGGTTCTTTGTTATTCAAGTTATTCAAATTACTGGATGAGGTCAGCGCAGCCGGAATAAATTCCAGTTTTCTTTGAGTATAGAAATATAACTTTCAGATGATCATGACACGCAGCTCACTGGCACAGTCATTTGATCTTTAGCTGTCATTTATACAGCAGAACTTAATATTTACACAGGTTCACTTCAAGGTAATGTTGTAGCAAGCATGAATGCTGTCATAACGTAACTCAATTGTCTTGGTGACTATATCCATCGAGAGTTGGCCACTGTGTCTATATTTGTCTAACGAAATTTCCATTTGAACAATCTTAGAGCACTATTTGAGTTACAATCCTTCTTCAAGGGATAAATCTTCGAATTTCTAATTCAGGTGCGGTTCTTTTCAGGGAGCTTGACGGGAATACAGCGAATATCTACTCAAGGCAGCGATGATAAGCTGTAGGCTCACCTGTTCCATAATTTTGATTCTCATCTTTTGCCTGAGGGAAATTTCTGTTGAGAGCGGACGTGTTGCCCATCCAAAGCATGTACAATCAAATGCACGAATCAACAGCAAGAGAACCTACATCGACAAAGAACTTCGCCAGACGAAGAACGATTTGGAAACGGAACTATTTCCTGTAAGAGTTGCTGACGAAAGAAGTATAAGTCACGAAACTATTCAAGCGCATCACACAGCGAAACAGAGAGAAACACTTGATAGTGGAGACATAAACTCGAGTGTGAATGTTGAATGCGAGTACGAAGATGACAGCAAGAAAATGGATAAAAAAAATGGAGAATCACAAAGTGAGGCGGACCTAAATGATAAACTAGTTCTTTTAAATGACCGCAGAAAATACAAATTTCTCAAAAGAAGCAAACGAGAACCAGGTTCTGAGGGAACACCCGAAGGACAGCCCGAAGCAGAACCCGGAGCAGAACCCACGGGAGAACCCGAGGGATCGCATACAGGATACACAGGAGCAACAGACCCTACAGCAGAGCCTGAAATGTCCTGGCCAGAACCAGAGCCAGATTGGGATCAAGCTTTCGGAAAATGGCAAGCTGCCTGGCCACTACACACGTACGGCTTCGGCGTGATCTTCACAATCATCGCGTTGATTCCAACGCTCGAGCTACTGAGAATGCACGTCGATAAGGGCAAAATGTCCGCCCTTAAGTCCAGCTTGCTCGTCATTATCTTCATCTTCAGTTCAACTCGGGCGATGGCGCTTTTTGTGGACCCGTACGGCTCGACCAAACGATTTCACCTCATCGTATCTCAGCTCTTGTTTTCTCTCGGTCATCCATGCATGATTTCCGCTTTAAGCCTTCTGCTCCTGGTACTTATTGACACAACAAAAATGAACGTTGCCCCGCCTAAATTTCAACGCATACAGTTCATCATCCCCGTGGTAGTTTTCCACGTGGTCCTGGTGATAGTGACAGATTTTGTGGTGGTTTACTTCCTAGAAGCTAAGGTTCTCCTCCTGGTGTGTCAACTGTATTTCCTATCATTAGGGTTACTGCTAGCGGCGGGATATGTCCGTGTTGGCTGGAAAATTCACGTAAACATCAAAGCTAATGTCAACAGCAAAAGTGCAGTCGACAACAGCATGCGGCGTCTACAGTATCTCATTGCGGCGTGTGCAGTTGTGAGCGGTTTGATAAGCGTACTGACAATATACGGGGCTGCTGGCGTTTTTGGAGTATACTCAGATGTGCAGTATGTCGAACCCTGGCCTTGGTGGATCTTCCAATCATTTAATCGCCTTCTTGAAACCACCATCTGCATTGTAATCTTACTCATGAATACAAAGGCGTCTTCCAAACGTAAAATTTTTCCCTCAGCTCGAAGCTTTGTGACGAAAAGCATTTTCTACGTAAGAAGGAGCACTGCAAAGGTTCCACAAACATCTCCGCAAGAAATGACGATCTCAAACGTGGAATAAGTTACAGAGAGTTTAAAAACATTTTTACCTCACAAACTTTTGTTAGTACATCACCTTCTGTGAGGAAATAAAAAATCGAACGCGAACCGAAAAAAAATCACCTAGGAAAAGTGAGAAAACTTCCGGAAGAATACTAGCCAAAAAACGCCAGGAACATCGGGCGAAGATTACAAAGAAACTAAAAACCTAACTGGCCAAACAAAAAAGGGACGGAACTATAGCGTCTACAGACTCATCGCAAAAGACGAAATTGCATGAATTAAACTCTGATGCTAATAGTGAAGAATTGTCACGTAACCGTTCATTTTACAGACAAACTGTAAATACAATGTTTTAGCGGGGTTTATAGGCCTAAAACAATCCCAACCAAAACGAATTGTTTTTCTTACTCGTGGTTTAGTACGCAGTCTAAAAGTCATAGTTAGATTAAATCTCAATAAACAATCGTGCAACCATGGTTACAAAGCTTCGCTTGATTCTCAAATCCTAGCCTGCAGAACAGGCGTCACTTTTTCTGCGTTTTTCAGTCAAAGGGAGGCAAGCGCGAGGCGAGCACGAAGTGCGAGTTACGCGCGAGGGGATGAGCTCCTCCCCTCGCGCGTAACCGCGCGTAATCAAATCATGTAATGAAGCCCTTGCCATTTATTTGAAGTCTTAACCCTTTCCAAAAACAAATGTTCCGCATTAAATGGTGTCTAGAGCCCGCAACGAAATTCAATATAACTCAATCCTTCCTATTCTCAGAGACCTCACCCCTGATTAGGTCCCAGACTCTACTCTCAAGTTATCGCCTGAGCTAAGTCAAATCATTTTGCAAGTTATCTTCAGAGTTAACTTTTAAGTAATGTACCTCAGTTGTTCTGTGATCAAGCTACCACGCAGTACTCACCTGTCAAAATTTGGCAAACTTGGGTTGTAAAGCCGAGCCTCTCTCAACAACTGATAAATACGGTCCTTATACTGAAAAAGAAAAACACGCGCAAAGCAATATGTATTAACCCCTTTATCATCACGATTGACTGTGCCACGTGATTGTAATGACATTGTAAAAGCCAGTCTTTGCGCACTTTCAGGCTTAAATCTCCCGATATCACAAAATAAAATAATATTACCCGGTGGTACAGCCAACCACAATGCATGTACGTGTTAGATCAGGCCGCTTAACCAGCGATCAGGCGTTCTTTGCAACACTATGGGATTCCCGGCGTGAAGGCGCAACAATTATTCTTTGACCCAAAAAAATCATGATAGGTTTTTTACTTCGTTTGGCAAAGAAACCGACTGCTTTTCTTACGTCTGTGAATGCTCAACAGTTGCTCAACCGTACTTCTAGGGCGATTTTCAACCGATTGTCGAAAAACCACAACCAACGTTACCACAACAACCCATTAGAACATCGGTTAACAACATCATTAGCCAATGAAAACTTAAACGTTAAGACAGGCAAAGTACCTCAGGCGTGGGAGAAAGCGAGTGAACAAGTCGGAGTTTTTTAGGTTTTAATTTTGTATTTGATTGGTTGAGAAATTGGTGCGAATTTTCTGGGCCAATCACGGAGCATAGTGAGAAAAACCAAATGCACCCTTTGACTTCCTTTCAACACTCAAATGAAATTGCTTCAGGTGTCAGAGCTCTAGCATGCACATATTTTTTGCCCTCGTTGTTGTTACCGTCCTTTTTCTTTTTTAATCTAATGCACACAGAACTGACTTACTGACTTACCCTGATGTCTTCTATAAGTTGCCAGTCAGCCAAGTCGTCATCTTTAACAAAGAAAAGAAATCAAACGAACAGTGTAAATTACTTGGGTGCATAACTCAGCCGAGCTACAGGGAGTGGTAAACGCCTGGTAGAACTTGTACATGTGGAGAAACATTGAAATCCGAAGTAGCAAATCCCCAGCACAACAACTATGTAAAGAGGTAACTGATTATTTTGCAATTGATAACACAGCTAACTATGGTAACCGTGTCAGGGCTCCAACTAGAAGAGATAATTACCAAGGGCGCGCGCAACTTTGGTGTCCTTGGCAACTTAGAACCTTGCTAACCTTAACCGCGAGAGTACAGCAATTACGAAATGGCTAAACAATTCTTCCTCAAATGATAGTTTCTCTGTCTAGGAACACTTTTTCCTAAATCATTTAACTGTTTCTCTCCAGCACATCTGTTAACTTAAATCGATTTCGCGGGAAATCGTTATTTAGTATAAAGATGTCTGTAAACGGCCGTGAGACCGACATGCATTTCACATCATGAATAATAAGGTTCGTGACGTGAGTCAGGCAATGAGAAAACCAACTGCTAGCAGCATAAGTAACGACCGTATTACAATAATGGAAAACTGACCTTTTAAAGGAATCTTTATACTTCCTTGAATCAAACTTATAACTTCACATTTCAGCTTGCAAACCTCTATTTCAAGTTCTTTTATTCTAAATGAAAATGAAACACACATAAAGCTGATAACCAATAAATTCTTCCTGAAGTCAGTTTTCTTTCTCATAAAAATCCCATCAGAGTACTGACAACTAAAACAACGTATTAGAAGTTCAAGCAGAGTACTAGAAAAATAACGATTGTCACAACGAAACAAGTGAATGATACATCGCCATGCCTTCTGAGCATTAATGATTGATTTCCCTAAAAGGAGAAAACATTCTGTAAAACAAAGTCAAAGGTTTGTTTTTCTTGTTATGTACTATCTTTTACTCGTCCATGGCTTCAATTTTTTCATGCTACAGCAAGAACATGGCCATTGCTATCAGCGACGCAGCACAAATTTTCCCATCGTGATTTGATTGACATATTCTGTAAAAGTAAATTTATGATACACTTACAATTTCTGTTGTTGAAACGAAAGTAACTCTTCGACTGTAATTGGTTCAGTTTGCACTTCAATGGACTCAGTTACAACTGGTTGTCGTTTTCGTTCTTCTTCGTTCTCTGCAATTTCGCCATCTTTAGGTGGTATTTGTACTGATATCTTTTCGCAACTATTTTCGCATACAGGGTCACACGAAACCGCTTCTTCTGCCTGCTGCGAAAAGAAGAAAAAAAATCAAAGAAAACATTGAGCCAGTGGAGGGTGGCTTTAGATTGGGTTTCGATCGAGGTTCATCATGGCCAATCAGAAGGAAGGAAAACATCACAAGGAGGAAGCCAATGAAAGTTCAAAGCGAGAGAGCGAACCACTTTAAGCGCGGGAAAACGCTAGTGACTAGGTCGCGATTGATTTCAGTTTGGCTTCTGATTGGTAGTGGCTCGAATTTCGTAAACCAATCACAGAGCAAAGTAAAGCAGGCAAGTGCAAACCTGGATCACTCCAGACACCTAATTAAAAATTACTTCATTTGACGGGAAACACTCTGGAGTAGATCCAAGTTAGCGGCATACGGTCAAAAGGAACGGCACAACAAAATAAGACAATGTAAACTCACGCATACCTCCACTGCCGGTTCCTTTTCCTGTTCATTAAACGATGGCATTAGTTTAAGTTCAACAATCTGTGACTCTTCGTGTGGAAAGGACTTGGAACGCTGAACGCGGGTTTTCAACTTTGTCTCCAGCTTCAAGGAGGGGTCCTCAGCATGGTCCCCGGTTGCGTCACTTGATGCAGAACCGTTTACATTGGATCCAACTATCCATGAGATATAAGGATAAAAACAATTAGTCACCAGCAGCAGACATAGGAGTCGACAAAATGAAATAACGTTAGAATAATCAAAAAAGACATCATCCTAACCTTTACTAGTATCTGACAAGGCTCGAGTCACTTTCTTCTTTCGGCGCAGACTGTTCCGCAACTGAAGGAAAAGAGAAAAAAAGCTCACCATGTTATCGATCTGTGACCAAAACTAAGATTAACGACTTCTTAAGCAGTTTGAACGGAAAATCCTTAGTTTCAATTCAACCTCTGCAGAGAGACAACATGTCAAGTAGGGCAGCGAGGACACTCATCGGTTGGTCAGTCAGTCAGTCACCCAGTCAAAGAAATAGGAATTCAGTCACACACTCATGATAAGACGAATGACATCTTTTCACGCACGAACATCAGTAAACGCGTCAAATCTCTCACCCTGCCCATGATACTCCCACCTCCTGCCCCACGCTCAAAAGATGCCTCCGAATGTTGTTTACTCGCCAATCTTGTTGCTTCCTAGAAAACACAAAACAAAAACAAAAGCCTGGTTTGAAATAAAATCAAATCCAATGAACTGGGAAGGCTGTTTGTCAGAATGAAATAATCTTCCAAAGTTAAAATCGTGACAAAGGAAGCATGCGGACTGTGTCTGGATGCCTTTCTCGAGTTATCATGGCCTGGACAATCGCACGGTAAAAGTGTAACAAGATTTGTTTGATTGTATTTCTGTAGGAATTCACCTTGAGACTTGCAACCCAATCAAATACACACACATCCCGTGGAGGGAACAGCTGATAGTCTTTTCCCTCTTTGCTGAAAATGAAAATGACGAAAACTCTGAGAACGCTGGAAGGTACTTAAAAAGGATTGAAAAAGGAAATAAAAATAGTGGTGAGAGTTGAACAAAATGCGACAAAAAAAAGTTTCCGCAACATCGAAATTTTGACGTTCAGCAGTGCGATAGTATGCACTGCCTACAATGCACTGACAAGGCAATGCAGAGTTGTAAACCAGGCAGTTTGCGCGGATGGCCCGCCTCGCCGTGAGTCTCAGTAGTTTTTTCTATCACCATGGGAACTTCATTATCACGTAGTGCATCACAACGCTGACGTTGAACTCGTCCGTTTAACTCGTGCGCGCGCATGGCGGTCAGAAAATCAGATTTTCAAGATTAGCAACAAAGAGCTACCTAGAAAAAAATTTCACCATATTTTTGGTTAATTAAGATTCAAAATTGAAAGAAAAAAAGGGGTAGTCGACTCATCCCCAGCTAGATGTAGGAAAATAACAAGACGCACATTTTAAAAAAGCGTTTTTCCGCGCGTATCTGATCCCGATGATTGCTGGTATTACACGTATTTGTGTTAGTTTCATTTGGTCTGGTTGGTAGTTCTGACTGATTTCCTTCTATTAACCCTTCACGCCCTAACATCAGTATGTGTATTCTCCATACATTTCCTAAGGTGCTGACAAGGAGAATTTGTTTAATAACTAAGACCTTCACCCTTTGCACCCTAACATCAGTATGCATATTCTCAATACTGTTCTCTATACATTACTTAAGGTGCTGACATGGAGAATTTGTTTAACAACCAAGACCCTTTTTAGATAGTGATCATTTTCTTTATTCTCATGAGCTTAATGTGTGTTTCAGGGGTGATATTGTGAGGAGAAATTAGATGCTAATCACTCTTAGGGGCCGAAGTGTTAACCAATAGAGTCTATATGCAAGTATTGAACATTAAATCTTACCTTGAAATAACAACAATTACATCTACCACCGATGAACCAACATTTATAGATCTGATAACAATAAAAGAAGATCGCAAGTTCGATAAAGCAGTTTAATTTACCTTTAGCTCAAAGGTTTATCTTAAATTTGTACTCATTGAAAAATGCATAAACACATGCCCATTTCAAAACCAAAAGTTTTAAACACTGCCATCAAATATATGCATCTAAGTAAGTGTTAACAGTGCTTGTAGCATATGAAGGTGGGGGGAGGGGGAGAGAAGGGGAATTCCCTACAATGTGCTATACAGGGATTCTTAAAATTTAAAAAGGTCAAGCCACCTTTACAGGCTTAAAGTATGGCAATGGGATTGGGATTCATGCCGTAAAGTACCAAGGAGAATACAAAAAAAAGACAGGAACTAATGAAAGTACCACATACTAGCTAATAAAGTAGAGGGATCTAAAGGTGAATTCAAGCACCTTGCAAAAAACTACCCTAAAGTACCTCTTTTGTCTCAACAAGATGTGTGACTGGGAAAGTAAAGTCATAAAGCTGAGAGGACCATAACTGCTGCCTCTCATTCCTGTTTCCTACAACATTTAAGGTGGCTAGGAGGTTTTTCCTTAATGCAATTCCAGTTCTTTACAGGTATCCCTCCCACACCAGAATTTTTTCAGATTTTCTGACACTTCACTAGACTAGCCATTTATACCCTGTCATGGAGAGAGTCACCATAAGTATTAATCTTGCCCAGTAACACAACACAAGAACCATACCAGATCTGTAACCCAGACCTGTCTTTCCATGAATTAAAGTGCTAACTAAAAGCTGAGCCACTATGCCACCTCCTATTTGTAATATTTCCACCTTTGGCTTTACATACATATAGTATCAAAGATTAAATAAATGTTTTAAATTTTACTTATGTGGTAGAGTGGAGTTACAATATCTTGGACCCTTTATATCTCAAGCGTCCTACTATTGTCAACTCCCACTGCCTCCCCAGGTTCAGACTTGAGATAATGTACTATCTTTGTATATCAGACCTCTAAAATCTTAACCCCACTGTCCTCAATTCCTGTACAGTTTGAGAAAGCAAGAGCCCACCCTGCCATAACTGATCAATAATTGAAATCTAAGAACTATTTTTTCACCAGCAGTATAACATTCTCACACAGTGTTGCCACACAAGCCTTGTTAACATCCTTCCCTCCCACCCATTCACATCACTAGCTAGATTTTTGTGCAACTTCTTTGAATGTATAGTGGGGCTATTATCATAAAAAGTGTTTAAAAAAACACAACAACATAGCAAATGACAATCCTTTTAGATCAGGATCAAATACCCACCCTGTTGGTTTGGTATCTGGTGGGGCCTGGCTAGCTTTTTGGTCATAAAACAAGAGGTTGGAATCCTGCATAATGAACCTGTAAGCCACAAAGGCAAATTAAAAGATTTTCAACCACCAAGGAGTGGTAAGAGTATTCATAGTAAAATATATCACTGAAGGATGAAAAGTTGGCTAAGTTGACAAAAAACCTGCATTAATTATATTTAAATGGCAGCAAACCAAATTGAAATATTTGAAAAAAACTGGTTTAATATTACCTTAAAATAATTATTTCTATTAAGAGTAAGCAAAGTTACTGTTCTCTGGGGTGTCTAACTACTGATTTTAAGTAACTTAACTGCTCTCTAAGATAAAAAACAAATTATTCCACCAATGAAACTTCTGCTAGGAAGATTGTTTGTATATCCTTTTATTGATAGTCCAGATTTACAGGGACTTAATATGGGGGTATGCTTAAAAAACAAGTTTAACTGAATTTTTAGTGAGATTACATGATTGTTGAAAGACTTACCAGTGTCTGTCCCCTTTATCTTGTTCTTTTAGCTTGGAAAGCCCTAATATGATGGAATGCAGAGGGGAACAAATTACAGAAGTGCAAATTTAACTGTCAGCATCAGCTATGACAATCAAAAAGCCATTTAAGAACATATCACAGTGACCCCTACCACCAGACTTGAGCTTAACTCACTATTTTGCATATTACGAATTGCTACAGTAGCTTGTCTCCTGTGTGGCTGAGTAGGGAGCTAAACTTGATTAGAACACAAATTTAAGTAAAACTTCCATTGAAGGTAAAGGAAACCCAGAGCAGCACAAAAAGTTTCCATGTTACAAGGGGCCCATTTTTCAGTACAATGCATGCATTATAGATTATCATCCTTTCAATACTTCAGGTACACATGAATTAAGAGTATGGACATTAAAAATATGGTTTGATTTCAGCATTTATATAGCTGAAAAGGACAAAAATTACTGAAAAGGACAAAAATCACCCATCTCTCATGGACACTTGAAACTAGAGTCTCCTATGAAACCTCTGGATCAATGTAAGCATCTCAGGAGTTGTACACCTACCAAACATACCCTTCCCCCCACCACCTAACCCAACTTTAACCCTGAGTTGTTATCAGTTGACTATTATTTGGTTAACCCTTTAACTCCCAGATCTGATTGTTAATTCTCCCCTCCAGCTACTATATATTTCCTTTTAAATTAGTTACAAGAATTTGGTGTTAGATCAAGACAACAACTTCTATTTGATATGTTTGAGTACTCTCATCACCTGTTTGCTGGATAATGTATGGATATTGAAGGGAGAAGGTAGATGTTAATCACTTTTGGGAGTTAAAGGGTTAAGAGAGGGGAAGGTGTGTAGATGTCTGATAATGACATTGATCCAAACCCACTAATGAATTTTCCAAATGTTGATGTGTTAACCCTTTAACTCCCATGAGTGACCAAGACAGAATTTCTCCTTACAATATCAATACAATATCAACCAGATAAGAGTGATGAGAATAAAGAAAAATATCAATTTGGGAATAATTAGTTGATCCAATACTAAATTCTGCAAACTAACATCATAAGAATTGCATGGTTGACAGTAAGGAGAAATAAGAAAATGAATAACACTTTTTAAATTTAAAAACATGTTTCAACAGTTCTTCTGTCATCTTTGGTTCTGAATAATACAAAGTAAAAATTTGAATTTAGAGTGTGTAACAAAAGGAGAATTACAAATTTGATCTGGGAGTTAAGTTATTCAATTCTCAGCTTTCTGTGTCTCATATGTAAATATATAGGACACTCTCAGGGAAACTGGAGAGTGGCAATACTGTGCCACTCGGAAAAATTCTCTCTCGTAGTGAGTAATTTTGATTCTTCTTATCACCCGCTTGCTTGACAATATATTTAAAGCTTGACAATATATTTAAATTTTATGTTTATTACTTGTAAGAGTTTAAGTGTTCAGAGGCTTTAAAGGATTACCAAGAATACACCTGATTACATTTAGTTTACACGAGAGAGTACTATAAACCATCATCGAAAGAACTGAATGATATCGATACCGCTAATTGATAGGAAATGAAAATATCGAATTTAGCCAAGAGACGCTCTGGTCTGTTGAGCACTCAAATTTAAATACGTACCACAGTTGCTGTTCAGAGCTTGTATGTGCCCCTCCAAGCCAAGCCATTCGCGTTTCACTACGGACGAACTCATGACGACCCAATTAACTGTACAAACAGGAAAAGTTTCAAGAAAGTCATTTAGAAGTATTTCATACTTGAATGCGCCTGCGCTTCTCTTTCAGTCAACAGGAAATAACATCACATATTAAAAAGATACACTACACAGGAATTAAGCGAGACGTGAAAAAATTACCATTAATTAAGAGAAACTATAATTGATCAACCATTCTTAAATTCAGATATTATAACAGTAGAAAAATTGGTTCAGGTCCTTCGAATTCAACATCACAATGTTCAGACAACAATCTGATCAAAATGAACTTAGCTGGCTTCGACATTAATTGAATAGCAATGAAAACTGAAATCTTTAGTAACACAGTAACCTTAAAAGATGATCCGTTTGAGGACACAGACCCCAGATTAGTCCTTCGTAGAAATAAGTAAAAAAGGTGTTATCCAGTGAGGAGAAAATTTAACCGTGACCCAATGGCTCACACGCAAGAATCAAACTTGGGCTAAGTCGCTGAAAATTAGAGCGGGGACTAGGGATCACTATAGGAGAGATTCCCGGACATCCCTTTTACGAATGTGTCACGATCAGCATCTTCATGTTGCAGTGGTCACGGAGAGGAAAATGGACAAAGTAATGAACTTGAAAAGTGAAATTTTCACTTGCAGCACGTGAGCAACCCAAACATTTCGATCGTGTTTGCACTATTACTGGCTAAGATATGGCAGCTTTTCAAGAGCGAGAAAATTCTTAAAGCGCTTCCTCTCAGACACGTTATACTTAGAGTTGGCCATACCATCTGCAGGACGGATTTTCCTAGCCCGCAGCTTATCGCGATATTGGTGTGATATTCCGGATATTTGACTGTTTGTCTTCGTCCAGTGTTGTGCGTGTAAAGTTAACCGGCAGCCCTGAATTTCATCCTTGGTCATTACCATGTGCATTTGATGAACACCAGGCCTTTTCCTTGGGAAATCCTAGAAGTTTCAGTTTTCATACAGGGTCTAGTACGATTGTCAGCTCCTTGACACCCCCCAGAGTACGGTGTGTCACAAGTACCCTTACTCACCCATCCAATGATCACTGAATAACTCTTTCGGCCTGACATTAGGCCACATCTCAATTACTCCATGAGCGCGCGTTGGATACGAGATGGTAAATAGCCAACGAGATGCTTAGGGCCGAATTGGCCATAATGGGGGTCTATAATCAATTTCGTACCCCACAAGCGCGAATGGAATAATAAGTTTATTAAATATTTACTTCACTTCATCTAATCCGGAACATTTGGATAATTGGAGCCGTTATTCCTCTTAACAGTAAGCGCAATGCATTTCCATTTAAGGTGACTTGGAAAATAAGCTGATGACCGGAGTTGAATCAATCAATCAGAACACTAGAAGTGTAATATTCAGAGCCGAAATTTAATAATTTGAGTTAGCCAGCGGACACAATCGTTACTCATTACTCTTGTCCCCGAGGGGATCTACAATCGCCCGATAAACCGAGTGCAAAGACACAGGCTGCACATCATGTCGAAATACTCGTGTTCCTAGTTCGGTAATTCAGGCCTTTCATCTGGGGGGACCAACTTTCTCCAGTGCAATATAAGTGGACGCTATGACCAAAGGTGGCAAAGTTCTTGCTGTTCTTTTATTAAAAAAAAAAGAGGACAAATAACAGATTTCAAACAAGTTTCGCTAATTATATCTCATCATAATCAGATATCAATGAACAGTTATGCACACAATTAAACACCACTAACGTCGTAGTTCTGTAAAAACGTTTCTAAAGATATCTACGGCAAGAGGTACTAGGTTTCACCATAGGCGAGTAAAACTGAGTACATTCTGAAATTCGGGCCATCTAAAAACGGTTACGGGAGTAAGTTCGTTAAGAAGGGAAGAAATCATTTCGATGCAGTTCACTGCGAAATTTATTACCTCCATCACTTCCACAACCTTAATAAAACTCGACTGTCTAACAAATATTTCTTAGAATTTTAGCCCGGAGTACCTGGTGTCAATTCAAACAATATCCAGCTAAAAGATCCTTTTCTTTCTTCTGATCATCTTTACAGTTGAAAATGAAAACACCCCTGGATGTGACTAGGTTTGAAACCAGCCACATTCTTACCATGAACGTATACGGAGGACAACGGTCGTTTAAAAAGTTGAAGAGTAATACGAATAGACTTAGTTCGAAGAAAACGGTATTATGCTGCTGATAAAAGTTTTTAATTATTACTTAAATAAGGCGGAGAGCCAGTTTTTCCTATACTAAAACGTAAAAAAAAGGCACCAAAAATCTCAACGCTTCCACGAATAGCGTTCGCGACTGCTGCTTGGCTCTGTTAATTTCAAGTGAGCTAGCAGTAAGGAGCCAACTGCAAACCTCTTGAGATGTCTCTCAAAAAAGCCACGCCCTATAAGCCATGGGATGGTTATGAAAAAAAAAAACTATATTTGATCGACAAGCGCACATCACTGGAGCAATTTACACATAGCCACGAGGTAAGTATAAAAACATGCATTAGGTATTCCATGATCTGTACATTTGGAAATATATGGCAGTAGCATGGGGCATATGAGTTATATTGATTAAAAGTTTAGAATGTATTTCATCTGCTGCGCGACCTTTCTCGGCTTCTTTTCTCTTCCTTACTACTTCTTCCTCGCGATTCTTCACGATCAGTACTTCGTCTCTTCTCTCGGTTTCTATCCCGACTTCGGCTTCTTCTTTTTCTGTCGTCGTCCCTACTTCGCCTACTCGGGCTCCGACTCCGTCTCTTTTTTCTATCACGTTCTTTACTTTCATCGCGTCTTCGTTCGTGACTTCGGCGTTCCTTGCTTCGTCTTCGCGAACTGTGACGATCGCGACTTCGACTTCGTCTTTTTTCCCGTTCGCGATCACGATCACGATCACGATCGCGACTTCGACTTCGACTTCGACTTCGACTTCGACTTCGACTTCGACTTCGACGTGATTTTCGTTGAAGATCTTCCTCTTCGTCTTGTCGACTCTTTGGGGGGCTGCGGAAAAAGTAGCCAGCAGAAGGATTAGCTATACTTGCGTAGAGGAAGTTGTCCACTGTCCGGTAACATATCAAATAAACACAACACACCCTGCTAGAAGGAAGCTTATTCGACTCACTATCTTTTTCAAGATACACAAACACGGAAAAGAAGTTTTTTCCCCTTAATTTGTAGAAAAGTCACAAAACAGAAGTTTTTCAAACGCGAAGATCACAAGTGGAACTACAGTTTCAACTGCATCCAACCTTCTTTCAGTTACGTGCACTACGATGGAATGTTCACGTAATATCACTATTTCGCAGTAATTCTATGGCAGTAGGAAACAATGCTATCAGTGCTATTTGTGTTGATTTCTCGCAAACTCACCCACCTTTCACCGCGAGCGCGCCGAGCAAACTCCTCCGCCTCACCCCAGCCGTCTTGCGCGGTACGTTTGTGGTCATCGCACAGTCCTTTCCCCCGCAGCTTTATCTCGATATCCTTTTGAACGGGAACAGGAATGCGAGGAAACAAGGTTCCGTACCATTCCAACTTTAGCAAGAAACTCCTGACCATCTGTCCAATAGTCATAGTGCAGCCTCCACCAGCTTTAGGGTCAATTTCCTGAAAAATACAATACACAGAAGAGAACATTTATGATTGAGTGTGATTTACAGCAAGGTCTGAGGTGCTAAATGAAAACAACTGTTTAAACAAAATTAGCGGTATCAAATCAAAGAACCTTGACCTGGTCACTCTAACCCTCAAACGCCTGCCAAGTGACTGACGCTCTACATACGAGGTGTACTAGCAAATTGGGTCAAGCGCCTATGCTTTGTTAAGATGTAACCATACTACATCATTTTCTCGCCAAAAGACGAACTTGGTCTCAGAAGTCTTTGGCAGATGCTGTGCCTCTAAAATAAGGGCTTCTAGTTCAAGGCAGTTTGGTATTATCAACTGAGTTGATTACGTAATTGGCCACCGTTAAGAAATTCAAAGCAGACGTTTCGAGCGTTAGCCCTTCGCCATTAGCTCTGACGAAGGGCTAACGCTCGAAACGTCAGCTTTGAAACCCCTTACGGTGACCAATTAACGTTATAAACTCAGTTGATAACACTAAATTACTTTGTTATACTCTCCCACCGACACAGCACCACAGTTTTTTCACAAACTTACTCCCTTGATTCAATTGACTTCTAGTACAGCCAAACATAGAGGATTTAGACTGCTATATTAAAGATAGCAAAAAACTTAAACAAAGAGGACGTTTATCCAACGAACCTAAGATAACATGACTTACGAGGACTCAAACCGACCAACAATTTCCTTCTCATTTTCCTTCAAAACTGAAATGTATTATTTTTCCTTCTTTCTCTCTCTCTTTTTTTTTCCCATTCATTTTTTCTAAGGAACCCAATTTGGAGTGAGCATTCCTCCAAAGTTAGAACTCAAGTCTGGTGTCATGAATATGGACTACACTGCCAACTACAAAGCACAAGGTTGGCCATAGCTACTATTGTGTCATGTTAACCTCTTGTCAGGCAGCTCGGAGCAGTTCCATATCTGAAGGCCAGCAGTTGGTATGTAAACAACAGCTGTCATGAGCTGCCTAAGAGAGGTACATTACAGAACAACCTACAAACACATCAACACCACATGTCAACAACTTACTTCCAACAGGTAAAATGTGATAACAATCAGAAAATCAGGCAGAGAAATTTTGTTCAAACTCACCACATAAAACTGAGAGTTGCAAAATAAATTGTCCAATGGCTTGATTAGATGGTTTTCTTTTGTTTACACATAAATAAGCAAAATCTCACCACTGTATTCAACAGAACTCTTTAAACTTAGTTGTGGAATGCTAGAGTAGCATAAGAAATGTTTATAACAGCCCACAATGGCCTTTTTTTCTTTTTTTTTTTTTTAGGGTGGGAGGGGGGGGGAATGGGTGTTACAATTCATGAAACACCTGCCTGCTTGATTACCTACTTAAACACAGCATTGTCCTCTCATATGTTGCCCCCTTAAACAATGTCTGACATGCATAGTGTACCTTTATGTTTTCTGTATTCAACACAAACAGTGTTCAATGATATAATCTTATATATTTCATGCCTACACATCAACTGCTGGTATTTACATTTAATAAGGCAAGGAAGAGATCTGGTTAGTTATGTATAAGAATTAAGGATGAATTCCCTTCCCAAAATGATGTTAATTTAAAAGAAATGTTGTTTTCTTACAATTTGCTGTATTGTGCTATGAGTGTGATGACATTTCACATGGCTAAATCTGTTTGTGCTACCTAATGAAAACTTTGCTCTTACATTATAGAAAGTTTCATTTTCAGTGATATTGCCTCACACTTAATCACATACAAATACCATATTAACAAAACAATCACAAGGTAAGGTAGCTCCACAGCCAAAAAGCTGAAAAGGCTCATGGCTGTGTGTGTAACAGTCCATGTTACAAACAGCGTAGC